TTGCTCTACTTCTGCCCAGGCCTTCACATTGTGCATCCCAGATAGTACTGGATTTATCTGACCCATGTTTTATTGTCCTTCGTCTTTTCAAGAGACTCGTGTCATGCTACCTAGTTGGTAACATCTGACCCAGGGCTGGGCACAGCCAATCACTCCCTCCTTCTGCTGGTTCTCCTGCCTTCCTTGCTGTTTCTTCTCCTCTTCCTCTCCTCTACAGATTGGGGTGCTCCGGGCTCTGTTCTGGGTCTTCTTTCCATCTACACTGTGTCCCTAAGTGACCTCATCAGTCTCTGGGGTTTAAGTACCATCTATTCTCCGAGGATTCACTGAGGCTTATCCTAGCACAGACCTCTCCCCTGATTTTCACACTCCTACAGCTACTGGCCTTCTTTTTTTAAAAATATATATATAGATATATATTTTTAAACATCTTTATTGGAGTATAATTGCTTTACAATGGTGTGTTAGTTTCTGCTTTATAACAAAGTGAATCAGCTATACATATACATATATCCCCATATCTCCTCCCTCTTGCGTCTCCCTCCCACCCTCCCTATCCCACCCCTCTAGGTGGTCACAAAGCACCGAGTTGATCTCCCTGTGCTATGTGGCTGCTTCCCACTAGCTATCTATTTTACGTTTGGTAGTGTATGTATGTCCATGCCACTCTCTCACTTCGTCCCAGCTTACCCTTCCCCCTCCCTGTGTCCTCAAGTCCATTCTCTACATCTGTGTCTTTATTCATGTCCTGCCCCTAGGTTCTTCAGAACCATCTTTTTTTTTTTTTTTTAGATTCCATATATATGTGTTAGCATACGGTATTTGTTTTTCACTTTCTGACTTACTTCACTCTGTATGATAGACTCTAGATCCATCCACCTCACTACAAATAACTCAATTTCGTTTCTTTTTATGGCTGAGTAATATTCCATTGTGTATATGTGCCACTCATCTTTATCCATTCATCTGTCGATGGACACTTAGGTTGCTTCCATGTCCTGGCTATTGTAAATACAGCTGCAATGAACATTGTGGTACATGACTCTTTTTGAATTATGGTTTTCTCAGGGTATATGCCCAGGAGTGGGACTGCTGGGTCATATGGTAGTTCTGTTTTTAGTTTTTAAAGGAACCTCCATACTGTTCTCCATAGTGGCTGTATCAATTTACATTCCCACCAACAGTGCAAGAGGGCATTCTTAGTCACCTCTGTACTTGGAGATCTAAAAGGCATCTCAAACATAAAACATTCAAAATGGAGCTCTTGGTTTCCACCACCTCCCGCTCTGTCCCCACCAACCTGCTCCTCCTCCCAGCACATAGTCTCACCCTTGATACCTTTTTCTCGACACCCACAGCCAATCCCATCAGCAAAGCCTGTCAGGTCTACCTTGAACATGTATCCTCGGTCTGGCTACTCCACCTGGTCCAACGCCCCCCTCCCCTCCCTGTGCCCTGGGCTACTTCAGAAGCCTCCTAAGTGAGGGTCCCTTTTCTACCCTTGGCCTTCTCAGTCTGTTCTCTACCAGCAATCAGAGCAATTCTTTTAAAATGTAATTCAGTCATGTCATTCCCCAGCTGGCTTCTCTCACTTAGAACAAAACCCAAAATCCTGAGTATGGCCTATCAGGACTCCACCACCCCTCTGATCCACCCCCTAGCACTCTTCATTCCATAATTCTTCTCAGAAACACCATCCTACTTGCTGTTCCTAAAGAAGGCAAGCAAATGCTTGCCTCAGGGCCTTTGTACTTGGTGTTCCCTCTTCCTGGAATGCTCTTCTACATATATCCCCATGGCTCCTTCCCTCATTTCTTTTATGTCTTTCCTCAAATATCACTTCTTCAGAGAGGTTTCCCTGACTATCCTATAAAAAGTACTATCTTTATCCCCTCACCCCAGTTTATTTTTTTCATAGCATTCATTACTACTTGGCATTATATGATACTTTCATATATGATACTTTGGTTTACTTGTTAACTGTCTGTCTTCCCCAGTAGAAAGTGCTCTCTAAGAGGGCAGAGACTTTGTTTTCTTATTCAATGGTTAGAGTACTGCCCAGCATATATTAGTAGCTCAGTCAATATTTATTGCATGCATGAATGAATGACTGATTAGCAAATCCCTAGAATGTAGAGGCTCTTTCTGACCTTCTTATTTATTCCCCCAACCTCTTCTGTCAGATTCCTAGCTTTGGGCAGGGTACAGTGTAGATGCCGATAAATGTATGATTGCTGAACAGTCAATAAATTCTTTTTGAGCAAATGAGTTACCAAGTTCTTGCAACATGCAGATGCAGTGAGCACAGGGGCAGCCCTCTTTTGAAAAGCTGGTTCTCAAAAAAAAAAAAAAAAGAAAGAAAAGAAAAGCTGGTTCTCTCGGGTAGAAGTCTTAGTCTCTGTTGCTCCCTCCCCTCACCTTGGTATCCTGACTCCAAGGCTGTGACCGGGAAGGACATGCAAGTACTGCTGGTCTGCTGGTGGCCTTGGGGAAACTGCACAAGCCCAACAGTCCCTGCTCAATGGCCTGGAGACTGTTGGCTCATCCAACAGGATGCTCTGCAGGTATCAGCTGGGAACAGTGTGGTCATTTACCAAATGGTTACCAAATGACCAGAGAAGCCAGTGTTTGAATTCCTATTTAATCCTAACTGTCCTGTGGGGTAAGCACTATGAACCTCATCGCAAAGTTAAGGAAACTAAAGCTCAGAGAGATTGCTTGCCCAAGGTCTCACTGGCAGTGAGTGACAGGATTGAGATTTGACCCCAGTTCTACCTAACTTCAGACAACAGACAACAGTGGACATTTGTTGAGGCTTCACTAAGTAAAAGGGTCTATTTAAGCTTCCTACACATGTGTAGATCTCATCTGGTACTAACAATAAACGTACTAGTTAAATATTATTGTTATCCCTATTTAACAAATTGGAGAACTGAGGCACAGAGAGGTTAATAACTTGCTCCAGGTCACACAGCACTTTCCATGACAACACACTACCTTTAAAATGTTACCTCCAATGACTAAGAATTTATTTAGATTACAAACCATTCCCAAGGGGTGAATTTGCTCTGAAACGCTAAGGAAGGGACATCTTAGAAAGCAGTAAACAGGCAAGGTCTCTCCTCTGCTGCTTCATCTTCTCTCCACAGTTCCTAGATGATCTCCACCCTGGGAGGGGAAGGTTGCTGCTCCTCCACCCTGGGAGGGGAAGGTTGCTGCTGCCTCCGAAGGAACAGGGCACAAAGTCCAGCCCCAGCCTTGCCCAGCATGCCCTGCCTGCTCACACAGGGGCATTAATAGGTAATGACTTTCGTGATGCGGAAGAGCAGGGCGGTGGAAACACAGAGGCTTGGGGCCTGTGGAAGAGGAATAGGGGCTAACCCAGGGGCTGAGTCAGACACCAGGGACTCCAGATATAATTCTCTCAAAGAGGCAGAGAAAAGTACCCCATGAGGAGAAGACAAAAGGGGACCCGACATTATTTTCAGCCCAGGGGCAGGAAACTGAAATTCAAGCCTGAGTCATCTTGGGGTGGGGGACGGGCAGTTGTGCTCTTTCAACGTGGGTTGTCTGAAATCTACACTCACCAAACGGCCTCAGCGGCTGAAATTTCTCCCCTCAAGTCCCTTTGCAACAGGATGCACTGGTGAACACTGTCTCACACTCCCCTTGCTATCTACCAGCCCCCAAACTCCTGCTTGAACTTCCGGTTATCTCTCACCCTTGGGATCCCAAGGCCTCATTTTCAGAAGACTTCCACCAGTATGGGCTGCTCTCTCTGTCCCCCCACCAAACCTTGATTCCAACACTCAGCACCCAGTTGTGGGTAGTTATTAGTGTAGGGTCTGCCTCCCATCCAAATGACCAGCAATTTGAGGGCACAGGCTGGGTCTGGCACGGAGTGGGTGCTCAAAACATGTTTCTTAAATGGACAACTGACCGTCAGCCCCTAGCCCCAAGCCCCTGTGGCCTCCACACTGGCTGGCTCCTTGGGCTCCCCTGGGCCTCTGTGTGGTGAGAGAGGGGCTAAGCATCCTGACGTTGCCTACCTGACCTCTGCCCCTCAGGCCTGGGAAGGGGGTTGGCTTGGTCTAAAGACACTGCCCCTCTGGGCAGGCCTCAAGGTACTGTCACCCGTCCCTCAGGCAGGGCCTGTGGGTAGCTCCAGACACCCCTGCCTTTATCCTTGGGCTCTGAGGCATCCTCAGGCCTGGTGGGGTGGTCCACTGGGTCCCTTCAAATGGTCCTCTTTGACCTCAGGGCCTCAGTGACTCCTGCACAGCTCTGGAAACAGTTCTGGAAAGCCTGGGTGAAATCCAGTAGCTTTCCGTGATGGTCTCTGAGGATCCCGGGCCACCAATTAGGCCCGTCACTGGGACACACCAGGGGAGAGCCCGAAGGCTCTGGCCGACTGCCTGAGCCTCCTCCCTTCCTCCCACTGCCCCCTGGCCAGCCCCAGGTCCTCAGCTACTTCTCAGGCCGCCAGAAATGCCCTTAAGTGGGGAGGGGGCTGCCTGGAGTGCTTCGAACTGGAATTTTGAGGTCAAAAGACAGAAGGAAGCGTCCACTTCCCCTCTCTACAGTCCTCACCTCTCAGACACTACCCCAAACCCTCTCCACACGTTCCAACAGCCCAGAGCTGGAAGCACCGGGAGGGAGGGGGTTTGCCCGCTATGGGCTATCTCAGAGAAATATCCTGTCTCAGACCAAGACTGGAAGGAATTCTAACCCCAGAGAAATCCCAAACCTGGAGCGCAGAAAAAGAAAGGACACTTTAAGGAGATCAGTTTAGCGGTTCCTATACCTGGAATCCCAGTGCACCTCCCTCATTTTACTGGGGATCCTTGCTGGCAACCAAATGACCCTCGGGGTCCCAGCCCACCCAAAGCCCCAGGCCCTGCTGGGAAAGCAAGGGGTGGTGCCGAGGGTGTCCACTTCCCACCCACTCCGGCCCGGACTCCGGGGTCCGGGGCGCTTGAGGGGCCCCTAGCAGCTCTGACCTTGTGACGGAATTCTCGGGCCACCTTCCGGTCCATGGCTGAACCAGATAGAACCGCTTGCTACACAACTAGCTCCTTCGGGTGCTGCCGGTGCTTGGTTGCCCCGAGCCGGCAGAGGCGAAGACCCTGACAGGCGGGGCCTGGGAGGGAGGGGGCGGGACCTGGGATGGGTGGGGCGGGGCCGCGGGGAGGCGGGAGACCCATGTCCTGAATCGCGTCGTCTCTCACTGACGCCCAGGAGCAAATGGACTGGAGTGTGTGTCAGTGATGGTGGCACCAGTGGTTGGACCTGAGGCTGGCGCTGCACTTGGAATGGCTCCCAAACACACGCAGTTGAGGTAAAGGATCTCAGGAAACTGTCTGTCACCCTCTGCCAGGCATCTCACCTTCAGTGTGCATTCCTCTGTGGGTTTTTCCCACTTGGAAGACATCTTCTCTTTGTGAATTCCTTGGTGAACCAGTGGGTGGGAGTGCCCCTTCTTAACTGACTTCCCCTCCCACGTTCCCTAGCTCCCCTCCAATCACACACACACACACACAGAAGCATAGAAGGGCCTGGCAATGACATCCTGATTTACAGCTGACCTTTACCCAGGGCCCAGGCCCCATCTGGCTCATTTGATTCAATTCAGCCAAAGTTTGCTTGACTCCTAGGTCTAGGGCTGGGGTGCAAAGATAATGATGAACCAACCCTGGGACAGACTGAGAGGAAAGAGGGGGCCAGGAGAGGGGTGATAAAAACAGATGTGAATGGAAAGAGTGGGCACTTTTAATTATGGCGCTTGCTCTTGGATTTAACTCAGGGTCAGGGCCTGCCCTGTTTGCACCGTGTCAAGGGACAGGGGACAGGAGGTGGACAGCAGCCCAAATCAGTGAACAACTGTAACTTCAGAGGCATCTAAAGACCCCCTCCTTTGCAGCCCACCACCAATAGCTGAAGTTTTGTCAGCAGACTATTTTTATTTGGGCTAAATTATTGCCTAGTTTAAGATATAAATCCTTCCTGGAGAAGAACCTTAAAATATCATCCATGTTCTCCCCTTCATATTAACTAGTTAAGGTCAGAGATAAAAGAATTCTGAGATTTTCAGAGGCCCAGGAAAGACACACAAAATATATTCCCCTCCAACTTACCTTGTTGATTTTCTGCATTTCGTAACTATGTCATATGGCTGTTTATTTCGTATATAGAATCCAGGCCGAGCAGCAAATGCCCTTATGAGGGGAATGCCATCCACTGGCACCCCAATCCTTCTTTTACATGACCACTGCCCCCTGCAGACTCTCTTCTTTAAATGCTTCCCTCTTGGTTTTAGGGATAAAACTGAGTCCTGCTTCTCCTCTCCCATTGTTACTGAGTCCAAGTTCGAACTGCTCACTGCACAACAGACCAATAAATTGCGAGACGAGTTGTTGGGGCAAGGAACAGCAACTTTTTAATTTTATTTTTTAAACATCTTTATCAGAGTATAATTGCTTTACAGTGTTGTGTTAGTTTCTGCTGTATAACAAAGCGAATAAGCTATGTGCATACAGATATCCCCATATTCCCTCCCTCTTGCACCTGCCTCCCACCCTCCCTATCCCACCCCTCTAGGTGGACACAAAGCACCAACCTGATCTCCCTGGGCTATGCGGCTGCTTCCCACTAGCTATCTGTTTTACATTTGTTAGTGTATATATGTCCATGCCACTTTCTCACTTCGTCCCAGCTTACCCTTCCCCTTCCCCAGCAACTTTATTTTTAAAGCCAGCAGACCAAGAACATGGTGGACTAGTATCCCAAAGAACCATCTTCCCCAAGTTAGAATTCAGGCTTCTTTTATACTGAAAGGGGTAGGGGTGAGGTTGCAAATTTCTTCGTGCCGGAATTCTTTGTTCTTATAGCCCTCCAGGTAGGTCTGGGTCACAATGTTCCTATAAAGGTCCAACAAGACAAATGTTATTCTCTGTTCTGAAACTTTTTATTTCTATATGAATGGGAAAGTGTTATACCTGTAAAGGTCAGAGGCTTGAGAATGGGCTATCCTGTATATTTCAGGCAATTGGCAACATTCTTAACTTGTAGCAAAAGCAATAGAATACAAAGGTTAAAGTAAAAGAAACAGCTTCAATATGGAGTCAGATTTGTCCTTCCCTATTACATCATGAATGTTCTTTTTCAAGCTTCCTCTAAGACAGTCCTGCCTTCACCCATTCCTTAACCAGTGTTCTTTAAGGCTCCATGCTTTGCTCTTTCCTCTTCATCTTCCCATCTAACCCTATGGCTTCAAATACCCTGTGTGGGGATTGTAGAGCCCTACATCAAGGACACCCTACATCAAGGACATAGGATAAAAACTTGGAATTAACCGAGCCCCCATAAGCAATTGTTGACATGGGCTCTCCTAATCTAAACAGGACAGCCCCCCTCACCGCCGGGCCCCTCCCGCCCCCCCGCCCAACTCCATATTAGGTAAAATATTCACCAGGTAGCAACCTTGTAGCACCCTGGCCAATCACCTAATGCCATCCTGCGAGCAGGAATTTTCTTTGTCTTCAGGCTATAAAAATTGACTACTAGAGCACAAAGGGGGTTGCCTCTCCCTGGTCTATCAGGAAATTGACCTGCTGTATTTGCACCGCCCCTCACTAACTCTGCTCTTTGCTCTCCATAAACTCACTGTTTTCTAAAATACTTTGTGTCTGGAAATTCTTCTTCCAACCTGCGCACGGACCACAATAGGGATAGCTATGTGTGCTTTATTTACCACTTTATTCCCAGAACAATGTGTGGCGAGGAGTAGTTGCTCAACAAATTGGTTGAATGGATGAATGAATGAATGTATCCCAAATGTATACCGCTGCCCAGGGGCCTATGAAGGCCAACACTATCGTCATTATCATCACCATCATCATCTATGCGGCCTGGCATCTAGTTGGTGTTCTAGCACTTAGTTGGCCAAGTGAATGATACAAAGTTTCCCAAGGCTCTCAGGCCTACACTTCTACCATTTTAAAATTCTCCCTGGACAGAGAGGGTATCTTGTTCACAAAATTAAAGTTGTTTTGTCAAAGTATGGCCTCGATGGGAGCAATAATATGGGAGTGTGAGGCACTTCTGTCACTCAGTCAACATTCCCCAAGCTGGGGCCTGAGCTAGTGCTGGACATACAGAGGATTAAGCCATGATCCATTTTCTAGAGGTATTCAAAACTGGGGGTAGGGTGGGGACTTGGGGACTCAGGAGGCTGTAGTGGGGAGTGGTGGGAGCACAGGCTAGGACTCCACAGGCCTGAGCCCTGGTCTGCCACTGACCACGGAGTAGCATGTCCCGGGACCTTTGTAAAAGGAGTGCATAGGACCAGACTCATACCGGCATCTTGGGTCTCTGGTGTTAGGGGCTTCGGAAACCCAGGTTCCAGAGCCAGGGATCTCTGAGGAGCAAGGGACGTTGGAAGTTGCACAGACTGCCTCCTTGCTCCCCCAAGAGACTTAGGGCTGAGTGATCTGAATCCAGCCTCCCCTGGGGAGGTGCAGCCTAACGCCAAGAAGGGCAAAGGCGGGGCCACGGCCAGGCGCCTAAATTATGGTAATGAGCTGGGCAGTCCTGTCACTCTAGCTCAGGGCGGAGCCAAGAGCCTGGGAGGCGGGGCGAAGGGAAGCCCAGGGCAAGAGAGCGAGAGGGACGGCGGCCTCCTACGAGTAGGTGTTACCCTGCCTTCGCGGGAGAGGCACTCGAGACCCTGGCCGTTCGCTCAGGCTTCCTAGTCCCCGCGTGCCCCTATGGGGGCCCCGGCGCCCGCGTTCTGCCTGCTAGTCGCTTGCGTCTGGCTGCCCCGGAGTGAGCCGGCAGGGGAGTCCCTGCCGCTACAGCCTCTCGGTGAGACGGGTGTGGACTAGGGGACCCCAGGGGGCTGGGGGAACGTTTAGGGGGACGGGCCTGAGCAAGTTGGAGAGAGGCAGGAAAGAAAGAAGGTTTGAGGGAGGGCAGGGGGACACCCAGGGAGTGGGTCGGGGGAGAGGGACCGCAGAAGGAAAGAAAGGTCAGCCACAACCAGGGGAATGGCTCTCAAGCTGGGCAGGGTGGAAGAGACCCAAGTGGGGGGAACCAGAGAGAACTGGGGCACAGAGAGTGGGAAGGAGGAGGGAGACCCTTGTTGGAGAAGAGTCGCCAGGGAGGGGGAGAAAGGATTTGAGAAGGCTGCAGGGAGAGAGAATGGGGTGTGAGAGAGGCTTCCTAGCAGGTGGGGAGCGGGTGGTGGGAGGCATCGCTTGAGTAGAGAGTAATCCTGCTCCCCAGCCGCAGCACCCGCACCCTGGGGCAATGCAGAGCTGCAGCCTGAGCCAGCCCAGGATCCCAGGTGAGTAGGCAAGAGCTTGTGCTGCCCCACTCACTGGTTCCATCTTTATTCCTGGCGTGGGTGACCCCAGGGGTTAGCACAGAGGGTGGGATGGGCCTGGGGGTGGTGGGGAGGCATGGCCCACTCCTATCCCCTCACCCATGCCAGGCTTGTTTCTCATCTAGCCACAGCCATCAGGAGGCGATCCTTGCCATAGGGGATGCCACAACAGTGATGGGAGGCCAGGTAAGGGGAGGCCTGGGGAAGGGAGGCTTCACTGGGCAGGGGCTTATTTCTCTCTGGGTTTGAGGCTGGCAGGGAGCTCTGTAGGTTGCAGGAAGGGTGTCTTTGCAGTTATTCAGAGGGAACAAACAAGATTCCTAGAATGTGTTTGAAGTATGCAAATTTATAGGATGCCTCTACTCCCACTTTCCTAATCTCTTGGGGCCCTGTAGCCAGTTTATCTATTTATTTATTTAAAAATTGTTTTTTAGGGGAGGAGGGCACAAAGGTGCTATCAGGAGACAGCTGAGCTCTTTTCCTTCCCTTGGTGAAAGTAGGAAGGTGAGAGTTTGGGAGAGTGTAGTCTCTTTTCCCTGCCTGGTCTAAACCCTGTCAGAGGCCCTTCTTCATCCCTGAGCAGTGCCCCAGGAGTGCTGCCTTGAGAGGAGAGACAAAAACCGGGCCACTTGGTGGGGTTTGCAAGGAAGGGTTGGTTGAGAAACAGATCCCTGACTACCATCCTCTGAGTCTTGACCATTCACTGTTGCCTACCTTCCCCAGCTCCTCCGTGCATTAGGGAGAGGTGGTGCTTTGTTCTCTCTCTTTGCCAAACTTCTTCGGTCTCTGGATCAGGTGACTCAATTTTTCTTTCTAATCCTGGCCTGCATTTGTCTCCTTTCTACAACCACGGACACGCTACAAATTCAGCCCACCCGAAGCCAGGTCCCCCAGAGAATCTCGAGCCTCAATTCACGCACCCTGGCTCTGGGGATCAGCTGTGGGGAGCTCCTTGTGCCAGTAGGATGGGAGCATCATTTATAAAAGAAAACAGTGTGTCCCAAATACCTGCCCTTTGGAAATAGATATGAAGACCCCAAGGTAGGAGGGGGCATACTTCTTTTCTTTTTTAATTGAAGTATAGTTGATTTACAATGTTGTGTTAATTTCTGCTGTACAGCAAAGAGACTCAGTTATACATATACAATACATTCTTTTTCATATTCTTTTCCATTATGGTTTATCTCAGGATATTGAATATAGTTCCCTGTCCTATACAGTAGGACCTTGTTATCTATTCTGTATCTAATAGTTTGCACCTACTAAGGGCATGCTTATTTTCTAATGTCTGGATTATATGGGGTTTTTTTTTCTCTTTTGCCCATTTCCTCAGACCCCAAGTTTTAGAATCACAGTCAGGTACAGTTTGAATTGAAAGATAATGTCATCACTCTTTTTATTTATTTTTATTTTATTTAAAAATTTTTTTATCATTCTTTTTATAGATGGGGAAATTGAGGTAGGTGAATGATTTGCCGGGGCCTTCAGGGCACAGCAGAGCAAGGTCTCCAGATGGAGCCAGCCTGTTCCCCCGTATCATGAATGCCCCTCCAGACCCCAGGAATCCCTGTATTTTAGTGGGGTAATGATCCTTCCCCAAGCATCTCATCCCCCTAGTGGGCTTCTTTCCTTGCTGGATTCCAGGGTAGGCCTCCCCTTCTTTTCCTTGGGGAAGCATCTAGACCAACCTACTGGCAACCCCAGTAGGTTTCTCACATTACTCCTTAGAGCAAACAAGGGGTTAGAATGGCCCTCCTTTAACGCTGCTGGAGTGGGGGGAGGGTGGGGAGGAATGAGGCTACTAGTTAGAAAGTGAACCTGGGGATCCTTTGAGGGCTTCTGCCTGGAGTGCCCTCTTCCGTGAGGGAGGGGGGGTCTCAGACCGGTAGACCACCACCCTTCATTTCAGTGCTGCCTCACTCTATAGAGCTCAGCCATTCTCCAGAGAATTGATGGTGTAGACCAGGAGTCCATGAACTTGGATGGGGGAAAAATGCATTTGTTCCTCAATGGAACTGAAATTTAGCCTTCCCTTTAGTTATTACTAGAGGCTACAGACCACAGCATGATAGCAGTGTCTGTGACTGTCACCGGTGGAAACCACAGATATTTTCCTATCGCCTTGCAATCATTGTTGCTATCTCCACATCTCATTTCTGGCTCACTGCCCCCAGATTCTGGCGGTGATACGGCCTGCTGCGGGTCTTGTGATTTAACGTATTAATAAAGAAGCACAAATATTACTGTCACCCAGTTTTATAAAATATTTGATAATGCATTGCAATATGTTTGATTTCCTTTGTCATCTTATGTCTCATATTACGTATTTAGAAACATTTATTCCAAGAAGGGGCCCGTAAGCCTCACTAGATTGTCAGAGGGGTTCATTGCATAAAAATGATTAAGAACTCCTGATCTATACTGAAGGTGAATCATCTGGACAGGATTTAAAATTCTTCTCCAGAAAATGGCCTCGACTTTTTGCAGCACAGGCTCTCTTACCCTCACAAGGCCGATCTCAGGGGCCACATCTGGGGGAGAGGGGGGCGAGGAGGCACAGGGACCAAGTTGAATTAAGCTCTGCAGGCCTGGGGGATGTTGGTGATGAGCCTTTCCCCGGCTGCTCTCTTCCATTGCCAGTGGTCTTTGAGGCCCTGTGAGACCGACTACTACCAGGGTGGGAAGCCTGGCTCCTTGGGCTCAGCCTGGGTCTACAGAGTAAGGAGAGCTGGGAGGACCCAGGAACCAGGGAGTGAGAACGCTGATACCTGGTCGAGGAGGGCCAGTGACCTCCGAGGGGGTCAGCGGGACAGTGAAGGGGGAGGGGGGGGTGGGTGCCTGCAGGAGGTGCAAAGAGCTGGGGTTGGGCTCCAGGGATCAGGTGCTCTGCATACTTCCTGTGCTCCAAGTCCTTTGCTAGAGGCTGGGGATTCAGCCTGGGGACGCAGAGGTGACAGTGAGGGAGAAAACATGTGAGACAAGCACCCTCAGTGTGGTTTGTGCCTCGCTGGCCCTGTGAGCAAGAACACGTGCTCCCGTTCACCATCCCTGGGCCGGACCGGGCACCCAGTCCGGGAAGTTGTACAAATGAGGGGGCTGAGGTCCTGAGAGGGAGGAGCCTGCTGTGCCCAGGGTCCCAGTCCCAGGTGAGGTCACGTTAGACACCTCGGGCTGGAGTCCTGAGAGGGCGGCTAGCCGTGTGGTGACTGAACACACGTGATGTTCGGGCAGTCCTGATTTCAGATGCTTTGTATCTCTGGAGACCGTGCATTGGGGCTTCTGGTCTGGGATATAGGGTCTCACAGGGCTTTGCCTGTGTCCTCGGATGTGTGCTCTCAGGGAGAGTCCTGACTCAGAGCTGAGTTCTGAGGACAGCCGGTGGTGATGTATGAAGCACTGTGTTTGCTGTTAGAAGAGTCCAAAATGTTGGGTGGGGGGGTCGGAGTGATGCCCCCCTGCCCTGGGGTGAGGGGCTGCCTTTGTTTCTTAGCTCTGCCCCATGTGGTTTCTGTGGTGAAGAGGTGTCGTGTTTGTTCTCCAGACAAGGGGGTTTTGTTCCAGGCTGTGGAGGACACAGAGGTTTACTAAGGAGGGAAGGCGCTGGGGAGGCGGTGGCGGGGGGGACGACACACTGGAGCATGGAGAGCAGCAGGTGTGTTCAGGCTACAGGCCTCCCCAGCCTGCCACTACGACGCCACTTGGGAGGGTGTAAACCAGGCCTCACTCCTCCGGACCTAGGGCAGGCCTGAAAATCCTGCCTTGCAGACCTCTCAGAGGGGGGTCTGGGGAAGTGGGGTGACTGAGGCACCAAGCGGCAAAGGGCCTGCCTCCCTCCAGCTGAGGGGCAGGAAGGGCTGTGACCGCCGGGAAGGCTGCGCTCCCTGAGGTCAGCCCTTGACTGCATTCTCTTCCTTCTCCTGTCTTTAAAAGGAGGCTGAAGCCCTGGACTCCTTGGCCATGTCTTCCTGGGAAAGACGACTCCATCGGGCCAAATGTGCACCTTCTTGTAAGTGCCCCCTCCCTGTGGCCCGTGGGAGGCCCTGGCCTGCGGACAGCCCTGTGAGCGCAGGCCCAGACTCCTCTCGGGGCCTCCTGGGACCTCTTTTCCCTGCATGGGGTCTCTTTTCACCGTCCCCAGCCCCAGCCTCCAGCTCCACTCTGCTTTCTCCTTCCTGGCTGAGGAAGTGTCCTGTGCTGATGACCATGGCTCTGCGGCTGTCTGCCTCACACTGTCTGACTCCAGAGAGACCGAGCTTCTTGTTTAGTGGTTGTTTTTCCCTCTCTACGTCACCCTGTGTCTGTAGCCTCTTTCTACTTTCTGTGGCCTCTCCCCTTGCCCTGTCCTATGCCCATGGCCTCTCCCTTCGCCTGTCCTGTGTCCATGGCCTCTCCCCTCATCTGGCCTCTGTCTGTGGCCCCTCCTCTCACATCACGGCTCCTTCCTTCACTACCCTCTGCTTTGTCCTCTCATCCTCTGTGGCCTTCCTTTCCACTACATTCCACGTGTGCGGCCCCTCCCCAACCTTGGTTTACGCCCTGGACTCTTTCCCGGAGCTTTTGGAACAGCGAGGAAGAGCAGTACATGAAGATCTCTGGGCGGTCTCCCTGCTCACCCCACATGCTGCATGTTCGTAGTTCTGCCTGCCTTGCCTGGTGGCCAAGAACTTTTAGCTTAGGAAGCTGAAGGCCTAGGTGGGGCTGGCCTGGGGGCCACTTGGTACATACGGAAGGCAGGTACTCTGAGACCCCACCCCACAGCCTGCTAGGGATGGGGCGGGGCAGCCGTCTGAGGTGCCCTACTCCTACCGCCATTAAAGCTAGCTACTGAGGAAAGCTGGGGCTACCTGTGATGGGGATTTGAGTTCCATGTAGCTCTGGGAGGGCTGGGGCCTGGGGTCCCAGCCTGAGGGAGGTGCTGCCCCGATGGGTTCTGCCAATCTTGGCTTGATGGGAAGGTGCCTTCTGTCTCCCTTGCAGACTTGTTCTCCTGCTTCAACGGGGGTGAGTGTGTGCACCCGGCCTTCTGCGACTGCAGACGCTTCAATGCCACTGGGCCGCGCTGCCAGATGGGTGGGTCTGGGCTCCATCCCACCTCCAAGAGGGGCCATGGGTACAGGGAAATCTGCAGGCCTGAGACGTGGGGCTCTGGGCTGGAGGGGAGTGGGGGTGGCCCCGCCAGGGCTGGAACCCACTGGCCTCTGGCTCGGTGCCAACTGCTGCTACACAGACAGCTTCTTTTTTCTCTGGCTCAGTGTACAATGTCGGCCCTGAACGGGACAGCATCTGCCGGGCATGGGGACAGCATCACGTGGAGACGTTTGATGGCCTCTACTACTACCTGTTTGGGAAGGGCAGCTACACCCTGGTGGGGCGCCATGAACCCGAGGGGCAGACCTTCTCAGTCCAGGTGAGGCGTTCCCTGCTCTGCCTGTCTAGGAAGGTTCCACTAGGCCCTGAAGGCTGGGCTGGCTTGGGATCTACTTGTCATGGTTAGAGAGGCTGGCACCTTCTTTTCCCCTCCCAGCTCCCGCCCAGGGCATCTGCACCTGGAGTGAGCTGAGGGCTCCACGGTTCTCACTTACCCACCCATTACTGGTTGCCCCTGGCCATTCATTCACTTAGTCTCTCACTCACCAAGTATTTATTAAGTGCGTAATTATACTCCTTTCCTGCCACAAGGCCTGTTGCTGGCTCTGTGAACAAAGACACAGATGTGGTCTCTGTCCTTATGGAACTTATAGTCTAATGGGGAAAACAGACATCACGTCAAATGAATCATTTCAAGTGCAACTGAGTGCAATAGAGAAGTTCCAAATGCTAGAAGAGCATGTGACGGAAAACCTAACCTTGCTTACTGGGAAGGATGGTGATCAGGGAGGGCTTCTTGGAGGAAGTGATATTTAAGTTGGGATTTGAAGAATGAATTAGAGCTAGCCAAGTGAAGGGGTTGGGGTGGGGGCGGATGTGAGAACATTCTAGGCCAACAGAACATTGGGTGCTACGGACCTTAGATAAGAAAGAGCATGGTGCCACGGAGGAAATGGTAGAGGTCCTGGATGACTCACTTTAGGGTGATCTCCTCTAAGAAGCCTTTCTGCATGCTCTGACCTTCTGAGTGGGCTCAGGGGCTCCTTTCTGTGGAACCAAAGTTCTGCATCATTACCCTGTCATTGTGTTTCTCTTACAAAGGTCTGTTTCTGGTCCTACTCTCCAGATATAAGCTTTCTAGGCAGGAAGTATGTCTTTTCAACTGCTGTTCCCAGTACCTGGATTAATGCTCAGTAAAAGTTGTCTGGTATATGAACACGTGTGAGACTGACTGTTGGGCAGACCTGATTTTCACGTTTACCCTGTGTGTCAAGTGGGCAGTCACCTTCAGGCACAGCTCTCTACCTGGAGAAGAGTCTACTTGGGGAGCCAGCTCTGCTGGAGGGCACCTTGGCCAGTGCGGAGTTAAGGCCAAGGGGTTGGGAGATAGGGGAGATCCTGGTGCTCAGTGTCACCCCTCTGCCAGCTGGGTGTGCCCCTTCTGTCTCAGGCATAGACCTACCAAGAGGCTGCCTGGGGGCTATGCTCTGGATGCACTGGGAACCCTGACCAACTCTCCCCGCTTTGCCTCGGGGTATCATGGATATCACACATCATGACTGTGTCATTTCATTGATGGATATGTCACAATTACTTAGACCAATGGGATGCCACACATTCATGGGTTATGAAATGAACTTAATGAGTCATAACCAGCCTAAAAAGAAAAAAGAAAAAAGAAAGAAAAAAGAGACTATAAATAGAAAATATCATAAGGATGCATTACACATTAATAGTGGTAATATTATTTTGTAAAACTTTTGTTTTATTTATATGTGTATATATTTCTCACTATGGGTCATGGTCACAAAAGTTTGAAAAATATTTAGACTATGGAATGGCTTTCACAGGTCCTACTTTCAGTTGAAATGGCTCCAGGCTGCTTAACCCCATTTAATGATAATCTAGTGGAAGGTTTGTTTGTTTGTTTGTTTATTTACTTATGGCTGCATTGGGTCTTCGTTGCTGTGCGCAGGCTTTCTCTACTTGCAGCGAGCGGGGGCTACTCTTCATTGCGGTGTGCGGGCTTCTCACTGCAGTGGCTTCTCTTGTTGCGGAGCACAGGCTCTAGGTGTGCGGGCTTCAGTAGTTGTGGCACGCAGGCTCAGTAGCTGTGGCTCGCGAACTCTAGAGCACAGGTTCAGTAGCTGTGGGGCATGGGCTTAGTTGCTCCGCAGCATGTGGGATCTTCCCGGACCAGGGCTCAAACCCGTGTCTCCTGCATTGGCAGGCGGATTACTGACCACTGCACCACCAGGGAAGCCCCTAGTGGAAGGTTTGCTCACTCATGGGACGGGTTTCCACATTTGGCAGATTGACATTTTCAGAGTTTTCCCTAAACTCTGGGAACCCCATCCCTCCCCTCCTTGGGTCCTATGGCCTTGGATGTATAGGTTCTGTCTGAGCAGGGGGCAGAGGAGACATGTGTGTGACACGCAGCACAGGAGTGACATGTGTGCCTGTGTGTGCAGGCGAGGGCTAGGCTGTATCTGCCAGGGTTGTGGTAGGAGTGTGTGTTTATAGTGTGTGCTTTGAGAGTGCCCTGTGATATACATATGAGATGTGTGTGTGTGTGGTTTGTATGAGCGTGAGATGGTGTGGGCGTGTAACTGGGCTTTCAATCCAATGAGATAACCTGGGATGGATAAGCAGAAAAGTCTGGACGTAGGAAGACAGCACGCTTGGATTAGAACCCTGGCTGTGTGTGCCCTTTCACCTCTCTGGGCGCCGGTTGCCTCCTCTCTGAAATACAGGTGATGAGAGCTCTGACCCTCCTGTGGTACTGTGGGGACCGGGAGAGATCACAGAGGAGACGAGCTTGGCACGCAGCAGGCAGGCTGTTGGCATTAGTGGAAGCTCAACAGGGTGCCCCTGGGCCCACAACCGAAGCTCGGGGCCAGGTATATGGCAGGAACCTGCACACTGGCCTCCGAACCGCCCCTTCTCCCCCACCAGGTGCACAACGACCCGCAGTGTGGCTCTTTTCCCTACACCTGCTCCAGGTCTGTCAGCCTCTTCTTAGCGGGTGAGCAGGAGATCCATCTGGCCAAGGAGGTCACCCGTGGAGGCATAAGGTAACTGTAACATCTTCTGCCCTGAGCTCCCCTACTCCCTGGCATGGGTGGTGGTGGATGGGTAAGCATCTTCCCTTCTCAAGCCTCAAGGAAATTGTTTTCAGGGGGCAAACAGCAGCACACCAGGGCAGAAGCATACTGGCAGGCCAGCTGGGTTTCTAGTCAGCTGGGTTTGCAGAAAGAGTCCCTCACAATTTTCTGGAACTGTCAGGATTTCTAGACAGTGGGTTTTCAGGCAAATAGCAGAGTTTCCCAGATAGCTGAGAATTTACCACTATAAGTATGCTTAATTTTCTTTTCTTTCACAAGTTGAAGGAAATCTTCCTGAGTGTATCATATATAGTTGAAGCATCCTCAGAGCAGATTCTCAGCACACTTTCACCCTTTTCTGATGGCCTGGGCTCATTTTGAATGTCACTTACGTTGTTGGGACATCAGGGATGCCTGAGGGACCACTCAAGGGGTGAAGTCCCAGCTTCCTATGCCAAAAGGCCCCAGACTGTGGTCCTTCCTGAAATCTTTCTTGCATTTCTTCTTCACTGGCCTTTCCTTCCCTTGCTGTCCACTGCCACTTCATGTTGTCAGGGGGACCTTCCTGCACTGACCCTTCTCCTCTTTTTTATTTCCTGCTTCAGACCTGGACGCTGGGTAACCAAGCTTTCTGGGGCTGAGTGTAGAAGTGAAGGCCCAGGGGTTTCTCCTGTGAAAGAAGCATTGGTAGATGGATCTTTTGGTACCAGCTTTGGCTGGTTAGACACTTCATTTGTCTTCCTCCTAATTTCCAGCCGGGTGAAAGTTGCCAAATTCCAGATTGGCTAGGCGAGCCTGTGCCGGTAAAATGGGGAAGGTGTCAAGACTGCTGTAGCCCTGCATCTTTTCTTTCATTCCCTGTTTGTCTTCTCTCTTGCCTTTTTCTTTTTCTCTTCCTACTCCTTTCTTTCTCCCCACCAAAAATATAAGTAAAATAGGTGTCTGTTTATACCACCTCTCCTGTCTAGGAGAAAGGAACTGGCAAATTCAATCACTCTAAGATTTATCCCTGCCAGGAAAATTGCAATTTTATTTTATTTTATTTTTCGCTTTACTAACTGCACTTTGTTTATTGAAGCACTGTCAATAAAAGATACATCAATAATTTTGGTATAAAAAGCCACCACTATTAGTGCTCAAAATCCCATGATTGCCCTCACTGTGATTCCAGATAGCAAGGGAAATTGCAATTTTATTTTATTTAAAAAAAAAAAATTTATTTATTTATTTTGGCTGCACTGGATCTTCGTTGCGGCATGTTTTAGTTGCAGCATGCATGTGGGATCTAGTTCCCTGACCAGGGATCGAACCTGGGCCCCCTGCATTGGGAGCATGGAGTCTTACCCACTGGACCACCAGGGAAGTCCCAGAAAATTGCAATTTTAAAAAGCAACTTTAAAACTCTGAAAACAAAAGAACCCCTTTCTGATGGTGGACTTCCAGGCACCCAAGAAGTCAGGGGCAGGGAAAATAAGGACCTCACACCCTGTGGTACCAGTGGCCGTGGGGTGAGGCAGGTCCTGTGTACGTGGTGGGTCCTTCAGGTAGGGGATGGTGGGTCCTTTGGTGAAGGGACTGGGCTAGTGGAGGTGGTGTGGATGCCCTGAAGCTCTGGCTTTGCCCTGCAGGGTCCAGCTGCCACATGTGATGGGGAGCATGCGCCTGCAGCGGCTTGCTGGCTATGTCCTCGTGCGGCATCAGTCGGCCTTCACGCTGGCCTGGGATGGCACCTCGGCTGTCTACATTAAAATGAGCCCAGAGTTCCTGGGCTGGACCCATGGGCTGTGTGGGAACAACAATGCCGACCCCCAGGACGACCTGGTGACCAGCTATGGTGAGGTGCAGGGCAGGTGGCCTCCAAGGGATTTTGGTGGGGATGGAGGATAGGTCAGGCTGGAAGGGGTGGAAAGGGACTTGAGACCGAACCCTGGGGTCATGACACTAAAGACCCAGTGGGAGGCCAGGGGCCCCTTCCAAGTATGTGGCCTCAGGCACCTTTTAACCTCTCTGGACCTCAGTTTCCTCATCTGTAAAACAGCCATGATGAGAATGTCTACTAGGGTTGTGTGAGGCTCTAATGGGCACTTTGCTAGGTGGCACTGACCCTGCAAGGTGAGTCGGGGCTGGAGGGGGCTGGGGTGGCAGCAGGGCACGGAGGGCTAGAGGGAGCCTGGAAGAGAAAGGCTCTAGCAGGAGTGGCAAGAAGTTAAAGTGAAGGGTTCAGGCCACATCATGGTGACTCTAGCCAGGAGGGAAGTGACACCTTTGAGCAGCCACAACACACTGAACACTTTACCCACATGGTCTCATATAGTCCTTGCAATCAGTTCACAAGGGGACCCTTTGCCCTGTTTCACATGTGGGGAAGCTCGGGCTCAGAGCGGTACGGGAGCTTGTTCAGGCTCACACGTTCATTCTCTTTCGATTGCATGGTGTTGCATTCCAGAGTTTAGAGCAGCAGGGATCTACTCCAGGGAACTCACAGGGTCTTGAGCATCCTTGACTATTCTTACCACACGGATTTTTCAGGAGAACGGCTCCGTAGGGAAATGCAGGTTGGGATGGGAGCTCGAGGCTGGGTTCTACAACTCCTTGCCTTCCTCTTGGCATCTCTTGGGCTCTATCTGCCTCCCCTCGGGCTCCCCACCTGTGATCATGCTAGTTCTCCCCTACAGGGAAGCTGACGGAAGATGTGGCTGAATTTGTGCACAGCTGGCAGGAGCAGGCCCCCAACCAGCCTCCAGGGCCCACGACCTCTTCTCTGCCTCGCCCTCCATGCCTGCAGCAGAGCCTGGGAACCATGCAGGTCTGGATCCTGGGGAGAGCCCCCCACTCCAGCCTCTACCCCCACCCTAGTGTCTGGCTTAGGTTGTTTTCCTTCTGCTTCTTGGGAAGTCATTGGCTGCAGGGGCCCAGGGTTGTTGGTGCCCATGCCCCTTCTGTCTGCTCTCTACCCGGCCCTTTCTCTCCCTCGGGCTCAAGTTGGGGTGCTGTATGGGACTGGCAAAGTCAGAGGGCTTTACCTGGCCCTGCCAGCCCCCAGCTCTGGCTCCTGGCCCTTGCCCCAGGGTGTGTATGACCGCTGTGAGGCACTGCTGCGGCCCCCCTTTGATGCCTGCCATGCCTATGTCAGCCCTCTGCCCTTCACGGCCAGCTGTACCAGCGATCTCTGCCAGTGAGTGGGGAGCCGGGGGGGCGGGCGATATTGGGTTGAAGGGAGACCTCTCCCAGTCTGGGGTGGGAGTTCATCACGTGGGCCACTGAGCTTGATGATCCCAGACCCTAACAGATATGCTTCCCAAAACTCTGATACTCTTATCTGCATAGGACAGACCTTCCCCATTCAGCTGAGGCCCAGAAATGGGGCCTGACCCACTCAGGGTCACGTAAGTCAGGGGCAATGTTGAGACTAGAGCCCAGGTTTCCTGCCTCCAGCCTAGGGGTCTGTATACCTAGCTCCCTTCCCTGGCTCCCTTTCCCAGCTGCGTGGCGAGGAAGGGTGCCCTGAGCCCTGGCGGTCTCTATCGGGTGCTGGCGGGCTGGCTACAGGGTGGATCTCACTCCAGTGTGACCCTCGGTTTCCCTGCATAGATCAGCGGGTGATGAAGCCACCTGGTGCCGGGCGCTGGCAGAGTATGCCCGGGCATGTGCCCAGGCAGGTCAGCCCCTGCAGGGGTGGAGGAACCAGCTCCGGCCATGCGGTAGGTGCAGCCTGGTGGTGGGCAGGGAGGGATTCCAACAAGTTCTGTCCTGGGGCTGCGGGTGGCATTCCCAGGCCTCAGCTCGATGTCCTGTCCTGCTGAGAACCACAGTTATCAGAGTGTTAAGGCCTAAGGTTGCATCTGCACGTGATAGATGGGAAAACTGAGGCTCAGAGAGGGAGGGGCTGGCCTGGGGCCACCGAGTGAGATGAGGGTGGCTCTCAGCGTCTCCCAGGCTCTCACTAATTTCCTGGTCACCTGGTGCTCCCACTGGAACTAGGGGAATCAGGAAAATCAAAGCCCTCCCACCCCCCACCCCAGGGCTTGGGGTGCGTCCTGGTTGGGTCCTGGCAGAGCTGGGGCCAGAAGGGAGCTGTCAGGCCATACTGCTCCCTTCCTTGCAAGCGGTGCACTGCAAGGAGAAGGCCTTTATCTACAACGAGTGCATCGCCTGCTGCCCCGCCTCCTGCCAGCCCCGGGCATCCTGCGTGGACAGCGAGATAACCTGTGTGGATGGCTGCTACTGCCCCGACGGTATGCGAGGGGTGGTGTGGGTGCCTGGCAGCCACTTCCTGGGCTGACACGGATGGGCATGGAGCAAGGGCTCAGAGGATGCTTGTTTGCAGAATGAATGAAGGAAAAAACAATAAGTGAATAAATGAATGAATGGATGACTTAAGGGAGGTGAGGGTAGGGGCAGAACTGTGGCTCTTGAGAGGTTCATCAGGGTATTTAATTTCATTGGGACTGAGCTTTTTAAGGTGTGTAGATGAGGACAAGTCATTCAGTCATTCATTTATTCATTTATCACACATGCATTTGTTTAAACATTCATCCACATACTGTTTTCATGGTGTACACATTTGCAGCACATCTACAGTGTGCAGCTCACGTGGCTAGGCTGGGGGTTAGGATAAAAAATATAAAGATACAGTCATTGACTTTAGGGATCAAAATCAGGTTGCTGTGATAAGACACTTACACACATGACTCTAGTCTGAGGCATAATCTGGTGAGGACCAGCTCAGCGGTTCAGACAAGAAGAGATATAGGGATTCATTTCAAGAAGAGAGACTGTCAGGGAAGGCTTCCTGGAGGAGGTGGCACCTAAGCTGGTTCTAGATGCAGTGACAGGCTTTTGAGAGGTGAGGAGGAGAAGCTAGTCAGTATGCATTTTGTTTGGTGTGGGTGGTTCTCTGAGAAAGGTCTGGAAGTGAGGTTATTTGCTCAGAGGGGATTAATCATTTATACAGGAGAAAGTTTGAAAGTGAGCTGGATGGTGAAAGAGTGTGGGTGAGGTGCTGTTTTTCACAGGCCCTGGAGAGTCATGAAAGTGTTGTGAACAAGAATGGAGGTAAGTCGGCCTTTGCTGTCACCCTAGGGCTGATCTTCGAGGATGGGGGCTGCGTGGCACCAGCTGAGTGTCCCTGTGAGTTCCATGGGACCCTGTACCCAACTGGTTCTGTGGTGAAAGAAGACTGCAACACCTGGTCTGTGTCCACTGTTGGGGAGAGGGGAAGGGGGAGGCGGTGACTTCTGGGGCTTTCCCTCAGGGCTGACCCTCCAGGATCTGGGAGCCTGACCACATGGGAGCGCTCACTCAGCATCTCTGAGTCAGGAGATCTCATTATATCCATTCTATGGGTGGAATCTCCATCACCCATTTTAGAGCTGGGAAAACTGAGGGCGAGGAGGAGCTCTGCGGACCCTGCAACCCTCCGACGTCTATCCTAGTCCTGGAGGGGTGAGCCCCTGCCCCCCTGGTCTCTGTGTTTCAGCACATGCACTGCGGGCAAGTGGCTGTGCAGCACATCTGTCTGCCCAGGTATGTCTGACCCCATCTTGGACCTTACCCCCTACCAGTCCCACAGCTTTTAGGGCAGGGAAGCGCTGGGGGCCAGGCCTGCTGCTGGCGTGGGGTGGTCACTCAGTTCCATTGGCTCAGCACGCCCCTCTTCATTTCCTCAGAGCTGCTTTGCCTGATTAAGGGGTTTTGCTCCACCCCTGTTAGGGAGGGTTTTTCATGGGCTCCTTCCTGAGCATGGGGGACCTGGACCGAGACTGGTCTCCATGCTCGGGGCCTGGTCTCCTGTCAGAGGGAGATGCTCGGGGCAGGGCTGCATCTCCCTTCAGACAGGCCTGGGGGGGGGAGGGGCAGGGCTCCAGACACTGCCCTCATACCTGAGGACAGGGTGCCATCTTCTCTTCATGCTCAGAGCTGCAGGGCAAGGCACTCCCTGTGGGGCAGCTCCCCTGGGTTAGCTGCCTTTCTCTGCCCCTCAGCCGAGTGTTCAGTGACTGGCGACATCCACTTCACGACCTTTGATGGCCGCCGCTACACGTTCCCTGCCACGTGTCAGTACATCCTCGCCAAGAGCCGCTCCTCGGGCACCTTCACAGTGACACTGCAGAATGCCCCATGTGGCCTGGTAAGGGCTGGGACCCCAGACCTGAACCAGCCAGCCACCCCTGGCTGCCACCCCCTAGAGAGGCTGGGGATTTAGGGCAGGGCCTCAGGTCCTTCCACAGCCCACTCATCCTGCTGTCCATTCTTTCTGGGCAGAGCCAGGGGACAGCAGACTGGGTTCTGGCTCCAGAACATCTGCTAGCTGAGAGTCACTTCCCTGTCCTGGGCCTCATTGTTTTTTATTTTTTTAATTTTATTGGAATATAGCTGATTTACAATGTTGTGTCATTTTCAGGTGTATAGCATAGTGATTCAGGTATACATATACATATATTCATTCTTTTTCAGATCCTTTTCCCATATAGGTTATTACAGAATGTTGAGTAGAGTTCCCTGTGCTGTATAGTAGGTACTTGTTGGTTATCTATTTTATGTATAATAGTGTGTGTATGTTAATCCCAAGCTCCTAATTTATCCCTCCCCGCCCCCTGCCACATTTCCCCTTTGGTAACCATAAGTTTTCAAAATCTGTGAGTCTGTTGCTGTTTTGTAAATAAGTTCATTTATATCATTTAAAAAAAATTAGATTCTACATATGAGTGATATCATATGATATTTGTCTTTCTCTGTCTGACTTACTTCACCTAGTATGATAATCTCTAGGTCCATCCAGTGTTGCTGCAAATGGCATTATTTCGTTCTTTTTTATGGCTGAGTAATATTCCATTGTATATATGCACCACATCTTCTTTATTCATTCCTCTGTTGATGGACATTTAGGTTGCTTCCATGTCTTGGCTGTTGTGAATAGTGCTGCAATGAACATTGGGGTGCGTGTATCTTTTCAAATTATGGTTTTCTCCAGGGATATGCCCAGGAGTAGGATTCCAGGATCATATGGTAGTTCTATTTTTAGTTTTTTTAAGGAACCTCCATACTGTTCTCCATAGTGGTTGTACCAATTTACATTCCCACCAACAGTGTAGGAGGGTTCCCTTTTCTCCACACCCACTCCAGCATTTACTGTTTGTGGACTTTTTGATGATGACCATTTTGACTGGTGTGAGGTGATACCTCATTGTAGTTTTGATTTGCATTTGTCTGATAATTAGTGATATTGAGCACCTTTTCATGTGTTTTTTTGTCCATCTGTATGTCTTCTTTGGAGAAATGTCTATTTAGATCTTCTGCCCATTTTTTGATTGGGTTTTCTTTTTGACAGAGGGCTGCACGAGCTGTTTATATATTTTGGAGATTAATCCCTTGTCAGTTGCTTCATTTGAAAATATATTCTCCCATTCTGTGGGTTGTCTTTTCATTTTGTTTATGGTTTTCTTTGCTGTGCAAAAGCTTTTAAGTTTAATTAGGTCCCATTTGTTTATTTTTGTTTTTATTTTCATTACTCCAGAAGGTGGTTCAAAAAATATATTGCTGAAATTTATGTCAAAGAGTGTTCTGCCTATGTTTTCCTCTAAGAGTTTTATAGTGTCCAGCGTACCATACCGTTTTGATTACTGGAACTTTGTAGTATAGTCTGAAGTCAGGGAGGCTGATTCCTCCAGCTCTGTTTTTCTTTTTTAAAATTAATTAATTAATTAATTTTTGGCTGTATTGGGTCTTCATTGCTGCACACGGGCTTTCTCTAGTTGTGGCGAGCGGGGGCTACTCTTTGTTGCAGTGCACGGGCTTCTCATTGCGGTGGCTTCTCTTGTTGTGAAGCATGGGCTCTGGGCACGCGGGCTTCAGTAGTTGTGGCACACAGGCTCAGCAGTTGTGGCACATGGGCTTAGTTGCTCCGCGGTATGTGGGATCTTCCTGGAGCAGGGCTCGAAACCATGTCCCCTGCATTGGCAGGAGGATTCTTAACCACTGCACCACCAGGGAAATCCCTAGCTCCGTTTTTCTTTCTCAGGATTGCTTTGGCTATTTGGGTTCTTTTGCATTTCCATACAAATTTAAAATTTTTTGTTCTAGTTCTGTGAAAAATGCCATTGGTAATTTGATAGGGATTGCATTGACTCTGTAGATTGCCTTGGGTAGTATAGTCATTTTGACAGTATTGATTCTTCCAATCCAAGAACATGGTATATCTTTCCATCTGTTTGCGTCATCTTTGATTTCTTTCATCAGCATCTTATAGCTTTTAGAATACAGGTCTTTTGTCTCCTTAGGTAGGTTTATTCCTAGGTATTTTATTCTTTTTGATGTGATGGTAAAAAAAAAATCTCTAAAATTGGTCTAATTCAACTTAATCTCTGCTTCCTTGGATTGTACCTTCAGCATCTCTATTCATTTATTCATTCGTTCATTCAGCATATACTGAACATCTATGTCTTCCAGAAGCTGTGTTGAGTCTTTGGGACTGGGATGAATTAGACCTGGCTCTGCCCTCCTGGACCTTACAGTTTGGTGCGTGAGGCAGACAAGTGACCCCCATAACCTACTATGTTACAGGAGCTGTGACAACATGGACAGTACAGAGTAGATCTCCATGGAGGAACTTTTCCCTGTTATTGTTTCACCCAAATGTCAGGTGGGAGGAGGAGGTGGATCAGGAAAGGCTTCCTAGAGGAGGTGAGCCCTGAGCTGTGTCAACCACTTGTGAACATAGCTGAGCAAAAGGCCAACCTGCAGGTCTGGGGTAGATGTGAGCTTGTTTGTCTCTCAGTAGTGACTGCACTGTCCCTGAGCTGACCATGCTAGCAAACCTCACCAGTCCTGGTCTGGTGGCACTGAAGCCCCTCCTGGCATAGAGGAGCAGGGGCTCACACCCCTAGCCAGGGGGGCCACCCCCAGTCCCTCCTCCCTGCTGGCTTCTGCAGCCCCAGCACTGAGGCCCTGAGTGTGAGCAGACATCAGCTGGACATGCCCCTCGCTGGCCCTGGGGACCCATGCTGGGCTGTGGACTAGGTGGAGGGCTGGGCTTTCTCCCTCTTTAGGCCTCAGTGGCCCCCACCCCTTTCTCTGCCAGAGAATGGCCTGGCCCTGACCTTGGCTGCTATCTGAGTCAAGAGAATACTTGTCCTCAAAAGTTGGGTCACTCTCATCACATCCTGAGGGTGGCAAAAGGCAAGGCAGACAGACACAGCCCAGCTGAGCTCCTTCCCACTTACGGAGGTCTGGCGTCTTAGAATACCTGAGGGCTGTGGGACCTTGGGGGGTCCCTTACTCAGCCCTCTCTCTAACGTGTCCCTGACTGGCTGGCCAGCCTCAGCCTGAGGTAACCTGCTTCAGTGCTGGATGGCGCCTCTTGATAGCACATTCTTTTTACCATGAGCTGGGTCTCCTCCTTGTGACGTCATCCATGCTGATGAACTGATGGAGGGCCAGCTTTGGGCCAGTCCTGGGCTGGGCACGGTGAGGGTTACACAGATGAATCTGACCTGGTCTTACCTGCCAGGAGCTCACAGCCTGATGTGGGAGGTCAGTCACGTCCTCAGGTCGGTTGCTTCAGTACGAGATACAACACCATCAGTGCTGTAAGAGGGGAGTTCTGTGAAGGAAGAAATACCCCTGTGGGGTAGAAGAAAGGAAGAAGGAAAGCCTCATGGCAGAGGTGGCATTTGAGCTGAGTGACCTAAAAAGTGGGCCTGGAAAGAGAAACAGAAATAAAATATGTATATTTGAGGATGGGGAGGAAGGGCAATCCAGGAGGATTAGAGCACATGAGAAAGGCAGTGAGGTTGGAATGTTCTAGAATGCAGCAACACAGAAGCAGAAGGACTTGGCAACTGGCTGACTGTGGCTGGTAAAGTTAGGGGGGATGTGGGAGAGAAGCAGGAAAAGTCAAAGAGGAAGCTGTGACTTCAGTCTGGGTGAACAGAATGGGGTGGGGTGAGGACAGTAACAGAGAGGATGATGAAAAATACTGGCACAGTGCTAGGAACTTCAATCACTTTTGCATACAACATCCAGTTTAAAGTTCAAAATACCCCCACGTGGTAGTTATTATTATTCTCCCTATTTTAAATATGATGAGACAAGCTTACAGAGGCTTGGGGCATTTCTGACAACCCACAGCCAGCAGGAGGAAGAGCTGAGCCCGATCCAAGGCTGGATGTTGTCCAGAAAGCCTGTCACAACCTATTATTAACATCTTACGTTAATTACAAATAATGAGCCAGTATGGATACATCAGTAACTAAAGCCATACCTTATTCAGATTTCCTTAGTTTTTCACCTAATATCATTTTTCTGTTCTAGGATACTACATTACATTTAGTCATCACATCTCCTTAGGCTCTTCTTGGCTGTTATAGTTTCTCATACTTCATTTTTGATGACCTTGAAAGTTTTGAGGAATACTGGTCACTTACTTTGTAGAATGCCCCTCTTTTGGAATTTGTATGATGTTTTTCTCATGGTTAGAGTGGGGTTGTGGGTTTGGGGGAGGAAGATCGGAGGTAGGGCGTCATTTTCATCACATCTTACCAAGGGTACACGCTATCAACGTGGTTTATTATTGTTGATATGGACCTTGATCATCTAGCTGAGGTAGTGTTTGCCACCGAGAAGTTATTCTTTTTTCCCCCTTTCCATACTGTTCTTCTCTTTGGAAGAAAAGTCATTATGTTCAGCCCACACTTGAAGAATGGGGAGTTATGCTCCCCTCCTTGAAGGCACAGAATTCACGCAAGTTTTTCTGCAGATTCGTTTTTTTCTCCCTGATATATTTATTCAGTCATTTATATCAGCATGCGCTCGTGGATATTTATTTTATTTTATTTATTTATTTATTTGCGGTACGTGGGCCTCTCACTGTCATGGCCTCCCCAGTTGCGGAGCACAGGCTCCGGACGCGCAGGCTCAGTGGCCATGGCTTACGGGCCCAGCCGCTCCGCGGCATGCGGGATCTTCCCGGACCGGGGCACGAACCCGCGTCCCCTGCATCGGCAGGTGGACTCTCAGCCACTGCGCCACCAGGGAAGCCCTCATGGATACTTAATTTATAATTTGGTTTATAATCCAATACTTTTTTATTTTTTTACTCAGATTGTTCAGCTTTGGCCATTGGGCAGTCTTTCACGTGGCTCCTGTGTCCCTTTGACACACCTCCATCACTGTGTGTGTGTGTACGTACTTCCTTAACCTTTCGGCCCTACAACATGTACCAGGCTCATCTCGTATATTTCCTGTCCCAGTCCTAGAATCAGCCATTTCTGCAAAAATATCACCAGGCTTTCTTGGCTCCTTTTATTAGAGAATGGTGTCAGAAACCAAGACCTGGGCACGCACTAGGTATGCTCATTGCTTCTGGGGTATCATTTCTTTTAGGCCATTTCAGCTGACAGAGAAAGGAAATATATGAATAACCCATGCATATCCTTGCCTAACCAACATATGTACACATATGGATAAATATTTCTATAAATAAACATATGATGTGTGCTAATCAGGAGTTCATACTCATGTTCCAACTCTAAGGTACTGCCATATGGATCATTCTAGCCGCCTCCCCTTGCTTATCTCTAAACACCCGCTCCAACAGTAAGAAACCTGGCTTCCATTATTCACCTATTCATTTACCTAACTGTTCAATTCCAGTATACATGTAGAAGAGTATCAGAATTATTATCCTGTATCTCCATGGGAAATAACTTTATCAAGTAGAGTACAGCGCTTAGGCACAATTCCTTTTGCTCTTAGTCTTACAAACTCCATTTATTTCCAAAGTAACTTAGGTCAACAGCTTTCCCCAAAACCCCTTTAGTGAGGTTGTTCCATATATTTGTAATATATTAGATTCTTCTGTCACAGTCTGCATTCCATTCTGGGATCCCCTGACCTCCTACATGACTTTTTAAAATTGCACACATTAGCGTTCACTCTTTATGCTGTAAAGTTCTGTGGTTTTGACAAATGCAACCCCAAAGTATTTCATGCACTTTTCTTATATGTATCCAATAGGGAGGACCAACCACATGTTGTATCTCTATTTTGCAGAGGAGAGAACAGAGGTTTGTAGAACTTAAGTGCGTTCTTTAGGGTCTTATGGCTTTCAGTGACATCAGGATTTGAACCTGAGACTGACTAAAGGTGCAGGCTTTCTTCCTGCACCAGTGACATGTCCAGGGGGGACCAGAGGATAAGTGGGTTTGACAAAGAAGGTGATGTTTTAGGCACGATGATTTTGAGCTGTTTCAGGGATTGTCCCCTTGGGCAGAAACTTAAAAGAAAGGTCATAACTGGTTGTACAATGTCTTTCTGAAAAGTTTCAAGCTCTGATCAGTTGATTTCAGTGCTCGATTGTATTACTTTCCTGTTACACTTTCTCTGGCTGTCTTTGAACTTAGGATAAAGTCCAAAAATATTACAAAGCTCTGCCTAAGCTGGCCCCTGCCTACCTCGTTTTTTTTTTTTTTTAAATGAATATGTTGAAGTCCTAACTCTTAATTAATTAATTTATTTTTGCCGTGTTGCATCTTCGTTTCTGTGCGAGGGCTTTCTCTAGTTGTGGCAAGCGGGGGCCACTCTTCATCGCGGTGCACGGGCCTCTCACTATCGCTGCCTCTCTTGTTGCGGAGCACAGGCTCCAGACGCGCAGGCTCAGTAGTTGTGGCTCACGGGCCTAGCTGCTCCGCGGCACGCGGGATCCTCCCAGACCAGGGCTCGAACCTGTGTTCCCTGCATTAGCAGGCAGATTCTCAACCACTGTGCCACCAGGGAAGCCCTCTGCCTACCTCTTGAACCTTAAACCACTTTGCCCAGTGGGCTCTGACCCCTCTGGTCTTCTTTTACATCCCTGAATACAGTAAAAGCCTTCCTGTCAGGGATTTTGTACAGGTTGTTCCTTCTGCCTAGATGTCTTCCCCATTGCCTTCTTCCGTTACCCACAGCTTCTATGCATCCTCTGATCTCAGCTCACATGACTCTTGAGCTTTTTTCCCATGCCTCAGTTTTCTGATCTGCAAAATGGGGTTGTTAGTAGTACTTACCGAATAGGATTGCTATGACGATTAGGTGGGTAAATATGTTAAACAATATATCAGAATGGTACTTGAACATAACTCTGAAGTTAGCTGTTATTATTATGTTTTAATAATATTGTAGTATAACTGTTATATTATTGTTATGATTATTGTTACATTACTATTATCATTCCCTAGGATGACCTTTCCTACCTCTGCAGGCTAAGTCTCCTTCCCTCACTATATACTTTCCTAGCACCCTACACCTCTTTTCAGCACTGATCACAATAATAATTAACCAACTTTGTAATTACTTATTTAATGTCTGTATCCCACACGAATATCTGTTCTTCTTGAGGGCAGGGACTATATCATTTTCATCATGTATGACTGTGTGACCATCTTCTGTGGAAGGGAGGTATGAATGGGCCCAATGTGTACTACCCATTTCAGAGATGAGAACCTGAGGCCTAGAGAATATTAGCTCATTTCCTGCCTGCTTATGAGTGGAGCTTGATACTCTGCAAGATGTGACACATAGAAAGAGCTACATAAACACCCATAAAAGGATGAAATTAAAGTCCTGGATTGCAGTCAAGTGGGGAGGCCAGTGTTTCTGGGGCTGGACTCTGGGTCATCTGGGGTCCATCTCTGCTCTGTGTCATAGCCTGAGGGTTGACTATCATTTTTATTTGTATTTTCCCAGTTCTGCCACTAACCTTCTCCAGTCTGTGCCTCTGCCTTCCCATTCCCCAGATGAAAGCATTTGGTTAGAGGACCCCTAATGTCCTTTGGGCCTCTGTCACTGTGGGGAGGCTTCCCCTAGCCTCAGACTGTGCTGAAATCCCTGCCTTTGGAGGGCTCTGTTGGGACCAGCAGGCAAGACAGACTAACTCTGGCCCTTTGGCCTTCCTTTCTCTCTAGAACCAGGATGGAGTCTGTGTCCAGTCAGTGTCAGTGATTCTGCATCAGGACCCTCGGAGGCAGGTGACCCTGACCCAAGCAGGAGATGTCCTTCTGTTTGACCAGTACAAGGTCACCCCACCCTACACAGACGGTACGGCCATGGTGGATGAGAGCTAGCTGAAAGGTGGTGGCCCAGGCTCTTCTGGCCAAAGGCACTGCCACACGGGCAACAGCTCACATTCTAATACTGGGTGAACCAGGCCAGGGGGACACCTTGGTCCCAGGAACATGGACTCTGGACTTATAAAATTGTCTTTGTCCCCATCCCAACATGACAGTGGGCTTCATGGCAGTATGACGGCTTCTCCTAACATTAGGATATTAATGGAGCTGTCTTCCATCCCTACTCTCACTATCTATTAATTATTATCCTTTCTGATTTCACAAGGTGTTTGTGATAGCTCGTAGGAAGCACATCTAACAAAAATGGCAAAACCATTAAGAAATAAAATGGCACCAGAAAAAAATTAAAAAAGAAAAAAGGATAAGGGCTCAAGATTGAGAAGAGGGGAGATGCAAGAGTGTAAAGAGCCCTGCCCCCCGAAAAAAAGGCAAGCCACAAAATGTGTAAAATTCACTACAACTGAATCTAAAACTTAAAATTGCTACGATTGAATCAGGAATCATATTGTGAGCTTCCTGGTAGTCACTGTGGGAAAAAAAAAGGGTAGTTAACAGAATTCTCCTTTGCTAGAAAAGGAAACACACGACTTAGGGAGGCAAAGCTTTAATTGGCACTCGATGCTAGAAGAAATTTCTCAGCGGGAGCTGCCATGGTAGGTTATTCCTGGGTCCTGACTTAATCATTGAATAGGATTTTCTCAAGGCTCCCCAAACCAACCCCCAGGCAGAGCCTCACTGTGTGTGAAGACTGGGCTGGGTATGGGGGTCAGCGTGGGCCATGCAGGTGGTGGCGGTGGATGGGGTGATACTGTCTGAACCTCCTACATCCCCGCTCCGGTTCTGTGCCCAGACGCCTTTGAAATCCGGAGGCTCTCGTCCGTGTTCCTGCGCGTGAGGACCAACGTGGGTGTGCGGGTGCTCTACGACCGCGAAGGACCGCGGCTGTACCTGCAGGTGGACCAGCGATGGGTAGAAGACACTGTGGGCCTCTGCGGCACCTTCAACGGCAACACGCAGGACGACTTCCTGTACGTGCCCTGACCCGGAACTGGAAGGAGAGGGGGAGGCAGGCCCCTTAAGAGTGTGTGCGGGCTGGCGCTGCCTAGGAACGTTTCTCCCGGGCTGCCGTGGGCTCTCAGTGTTCCCGACGTGCACCATTGATTATTTAGTCCTCCACATTTAAATTTAAGTATGTTTCTTTAAAGCAGTGGTTCACAGTCTTTCTTGCGCCAAAGAATCATCCCGGGAGCTTGTTAAAATGCTGATTCCTGGGTCCCACTCCTCAAGAATCTGATTTAGGGTACTGCCCGGGAATCTAATTTTTAATAAGCACCTCTGTGATTCTAGTCTGTGAGGTCTAGAGAGATAACTTTGAGAAATACTGTTTTACAGTGAGGTCTTAAAATGAGTGGACCTCAGGCTGAGTTTGATCTGGCTCACGATTTTGTCTGTTTTAACTGGTTGTGAACACTTTTAGATGAGTGTGAGCCCCCAGTAAACCAATGACGCCCAATCCCTTGCTTTCTATCCCACCAGGCCATTTTAACTCACGTACCTTTCCTGTCTGGTGCTTGTGGTTTGCATCCTGTGAGTCTCCCAGTATTCTGGGGAGGGCTATTTCCCATGGACTGACAGAGAGTTGAGAGAAAAGTCTATCTAGGCATGGACACAGTTGAGGAATTTGAGAGAGGACGAGAGTCTGACCTTCCAGAAGGGAGAACAAAGGGTTGATCTTGACGGCTGAAGGTTCTGGCCAGTCCTTCAAGTTACATGCGTTGGGTGATGCAGAAGGAAACATGAGAGGCTTTCTTCAGACAGAAATGAGAATTTGTTTGGAAAAGCAAGAACAGGAAAAACCTGAGAGCTTTTCCATGCATGTACCTTTTAAGATGTAGCATTCTACTCTGCCTTGCCTGGTGTTAGCGCAGCTGGTTAGAATGGTGAGGGCAGACCTTGTTCAGTGTGGGCTGCTTGCCGTGCTGCTAACTGTGAACTCTGGGTGGCAATACTGCTCTGTGTAACTTGAGTGTTCTCACTGCTCTGGAGCAATAATGTGCCTGTGGTGGGCGCCAGGCAGAACCTGCCCCTCATGGACACTATGATCTCTCTCCATTTTACCATCTACACCCAGTTCGGTGACCTTTGGAGACTGGTGTTGTCTAGGAAACATGCTTCTCCCCTTCCCCCCTTTATTGCCCCTCATGTGACTATTTCCCACCTGGAAAGAGAGGGAGGGCAAAGGAGTTTGGGGGAACTGCCCTTGGGGAAGGGAAGAGGAAGTCTTAATGTGGTGAAGTTTGGTTGATGGTGTCCCCGTTTATCTCTTTCTGATGTGAAGAACTGGGGTGGGTGGTGAGGGTGGGACAGTGTGTGGCCTCAAGCCCATTAGGAGCCTGTTGAACGTGATGGGTGTGTGTATGCACGCACATTTGTAATTGTATGTGTGTGAATGTGTGTAGATCCCCTTGGCTGTTTGCGTGTCTGGCATGTATTTGTGTTCTGTGGGTGTGTGTGCGTGTGTGTACATGGGCAGGTGGATGCTTACCTGGGTGTATGCTGTACGTTCACTTGGGTGCACGTGGGCCAGTGTGTGAATGTGGCTCTGCCGTGGCTGCAGGTCCCCAGTGGGTGTGCCTGAGAGCACCCCACAACTCTTTGGCAATTCTTGGAAAACACTGTCCGCCTGCTTCCCGCTGGTCTCTGGCTCCCCGGTGGACCCCTGTGATGTGCACCTGCAAGCCGGTGAGGTGATCGGGGAGGGGAGGGAGGATGGGTGTGACTGGTTTGAGAGAGATGAGGTGGGAAGCTGGGCATGAGGATGTTGACCACATTGGGTAGGAGTGATCAGAAAGGAGAAGGTGCGGGGAGGGGACTGAGCTTCCCTTCTGGTGAGGGGCAGGCAGAAGGGAACCTCACGTCCTATCCCTGTCACCTACACACACATTTGTACCAGCTCCCCCATCCCAGGGCAAAAGCCCGAGGTCTCACAGTGGCCCCACCAGGCTCTACGCTCTCCTCCCATCCCCCTTATCTCACCTCCTCCCCCATCCACCTCCCACCCTCCCCCTTCCTCCAGCTGCACTGGCCTCCTTGCTCTCTTCCTACACAGCCTGGTCCTTCTCTCCAGGTCTTTGCACTTGCTGTTCCCTTCACCTGGAATGTTTTTCCCTCATAAACACATGCCTCACTCTCTCACCTCTTTCGAGTTTTTGGTCAAACATCTTTCCACTGAGGGCTTCGGACCACTGGGTTTAAAATCACAATTCCCCTCCTGCCCCAACTTGCAATCCCCATTCTCCTTCCTAGCTTTCTCTCTCTCCTTAGATTCTTCCCCTTTAATTTACTATGTAAGTCGTCTAGTGATGGTCTCCTCCAACCAGAATGTCTGCTGTATGAGGGCAGGGACTTTTGTCTGTTTCGTTCACTCCCTTGACTCCTTCTGGCATATGGATTCATGACTGGCATGAGGAATGCGTTGCACGAGTGCCTGTGCATGCGCACACATGTACACACACACTCCCGTGTACAGAGTCCCCTGAGCTGTGGGGAAGGAGGGAGGGAGAGACTGGGGCCTGGGGCACCAGGCAAACCAGACCTCTGACCCTCGGCCCGTTTGTCTGTCTGCAGCCTCCTACGCCCTGCAGTCCTGCAGCGTGCTCACTGGGGAGCTGTTTGCGCCCTGCTCTGCGTACCTGAGCCCTGTGCCCTACTTTGAGCAGTGCCGCCGGGACACTTGCCGCTGTGGGCAGCCCTGCCTGTGTGCCACGCTAGCCCACTATGCCCGCCTGTGCCAGCGCCATGGGCTCCCCGTCGACTTCCGTGCCCACCTGCCAGCCTGTGGTGAGCGCCCCACGCTTGTGTGCCCATGTGAGGACGGCTGGAGGAGCCGGAGCTCCAGATCTGAGTGTCCACCTGCCCCCCTGAACTCTCCCCTGGGACGTCCTACAGTCTCCTCCAGCCTAACACCCCTTCCTCCCAAACTTTTTCTCCTCCTGTGCTCTCCATCTCTGCCGAGGGCCCCCATCCATGGATTACCCAGGCCTGACACCTGGGGCACGTGTCACCTCCAGTCCATCTCCAAGTCCTGTAAGTCTGGTCAACTGCAAATTCAGCCAGTTCTCACCACCGCCATTGCCACCACCCTAGTGACAGCTACCTAACAGGTGTCCCTATAGCCTCTTCTCACTGCAGCCAGAGTGAACTTTCTAAAGATCACTGGCTGTGTGGCCCTCAGGTTTGAGTGCACATGTGGCTCAATGGGCCTGGGCTGGCCCGTACCCACCCCCACTCCCACCCCAGGCCACACACCTCTCCATGTCTTGGTCATCTCTGTGCCCCCAGCCCCAGCACAGGGCCTCACTGTAAGTCTCCTACGTATGAATTAGTTCCGTTCCTAGAGCATGTTCGTAAGTTCAGTTTGTTCGTAAGTCAAACAAAGCTAGCCTAAGGTACCCAACTAACACAATCGGCTGTATAGTACTGTACTATAATAGGTTTATAATACGTTCGCATCTTTGAAAGTTCATAACTCGAAGGTTCGTATGTAGGGGGCTTACTGTACTGGGAGTCAGGAGACCTGAGTTTTATTCCAGCCCTGCAGGTAACTTTCTGTGTGTCTGTGACAAGGCCCTGGCCCGTCTCTGAGTCAAAGTTTCTCCAGAGCTGGTTGGATAGGACCACATTAGAATCATCATGGGAACTTTTAAAAAATGCACCTGTCTGAGCCATATCCAGTATCAATTAAAACAATGTATCTGGCAGTTAGGGGCAGGGATCAGCATTTTTAAAAGCTCCTAGGTGGCTTTGATGTGCAGCCAGGGTGAGAACAACTGGGCTTGGCAGTCTAGGTGGCTCTACTGGCCCTGACAGACTGTGGGAGACCCCAGGGGAGTGGGATGGTGTCCAGATGAGGAGAGGGCAACCCTGAGTCTTGGACAAAGGGCCCCGAGAGGCTGCTGGAGGGAGCACAATTGATCTTCATAACCCATGGAAGCGAGAGAGGCAGAAGTGTGTGTGTATTTACAAACCTGTGCATGTGTGTCTGTGGGTGAGTGTAGGGCTGTCAGGGGGCAGTGATTTCCACTCCTTCCCCAGTATCACTACCTAAGAGGAACGCCCTGCAGAGAAAAGGAAATACCAATGGCAGGGTCCAGGCTGAACTTGGGAGGTGGGACCCACCTCTGTGGCTCTGCCATTCTGGTGTAGTGGGAGGCAGACTGGGTTCAGATATCAGCTGTGAACTTGACCTGCTGTGTGACCTTGGACAAATGTCTTAACTTCTCTGGTTCTCAGTTCTCCTCTTTATGATGATGACTCCACCCCACACAGTTGTGAGTAAGAGAGAAACAAAGCACAGTTACATTCCTCACTACAGCACTGTCCTGTGAGGCTACCAAGGAGTACAGCCCCTGTGTGGCTCCGTGTGGACAAACCTGCCAGGACCTAGCCGGCCCTGAGGCCTGTGGAGTTGATGGTGGCGGCGACCTCAGCGGGGACGAGTGTGTGGAGGGCTGTGCCTGCCCACCAGACACCTATCTGGACACCCAGGCTGACCTCTGTGTTCCCAGGTGAGCAGGCTGGCTTGAGCTCTGTGTCAGGTGGTGATGAGGCTGGGGGTCTCCAGAGCATATGAAACTGGGGTGCCTGACTGGGCCTCTCATGTCCCTACTTCATCTCACAATCTTGGGGCAGAGCTTGGAGGGTAAGCTGGGTCAGTGGTCGGGTGGGCTTCCTCTTCTAGACACCCCTCCCCCTTCCCTGGCCTCTCTTCTCAGCTCTGGCTCTTTGCTCCAGCCCAGAACAACCCCGCAGAGCCAACAGGGTCTCTGCCCTCATCTCTCCTCTCCTTCCGCAAATCTTTACTGACCATGTATGTTCCAGACATTTCTAGGCCGCGGGAATTCAGCAACGAACAAAACAGAGTCCTGCCCTCACAGAGCTCACATTCTGGGTGGTGAGACAGATAATAAGCAAATAAACAGATCCTTCATGGGTCTGGTGGTAACAAGAGCCAAATACAGCCGAGTGAGAACAGAGGGTCCTGGGACAGGGAGGGGTTACTGTTATGTCATATGTCATCTGAAGTGAGCGTGGGAGGAAGGCCTTTCTGATGAGGTGACATTTGAGCAGAGATTTGAATGAAGAGTGCTCCAGGCGGAGGGGCACAAGGGGAAGGCCCTAAGACCTGCCTGTGGGCGTTCTCGGTGTGGCTAGAGGGCAGAGTTCGGGGGGAGGTGGGAGGTGGTGACCTCACCTCACAGGATCCTGGGGTTGACTGCCAAGGTCCTTGTTCCCCTCCAGGCCTATTTCTCCATCTGTAAAATGGTATCACATTCAACTGAATAATGGGGGAGCTGGAGAGAAGCCCCTTTAGGGCACATATTTGATTCACTCACTCAGAGACCTTTTGTAGCTACAGTCCTCCCTTGAGATCCAGATGTGTGCCCTGCCCCGACCCCTTGAGTTTGAGCATTGCCAGGGAAGGGAGCCTCTGAGGGTTATATGGGGTGGAGGAGGATTTAGAGGGAGAAGGTGGTGAGAAGCACTGGGGTTGGATGAGTTCAGACATCCCTCCCAGCCCTCGACTGCTCTGCTTCAAGGCCTGCACTTGGCCATAACCGGCAGGTGCCGTGGGAGGTATGTGAGAAGGCAACACAGTCTTTGGCCTCAGATGACCTACAAAGAGGCGCCTGCAGAGACGGTAGCATAAGGTTCTCCACCTTATGCTAGAAAGATGACGTATTTGGAGGGCCTAGCCTGGTGTTCACAGTATTTTAACAACCTGTGTGGTATAGGCACTGAGCCATCAGAACGGATGCTGGGTCTGAATGCCCCTGGCTGGCTGAGGGGTGGGGTCCCTGTCCTTGGCTGTTCCTGCCCCAGCTCCTGAGCTGGCCCACCTTTCTCTGTTCCCGGCTTGTATAGGAACCGGTGCTCCTGCCACTTCCAAGGAATGGATTATCCCCCTGGAGACAGTGACATCCCATCTCTAGGCCACTGGTGAGCTCCCTAGACAGCAGCATTATTATCTTCTCTTTATTATTATTATTTTTTAATTTTATTTAAAATTTTTTTTTGCGGTACGCGGGCCTCTCACTGCTGTGGCCTCTCCCGTTGCGGAGCACAGGCTCCGGACGTGTAGGCTCAGTGGCGATGGCTCACGGGGCCAGCCGCTCCGCGGCATGTGGGATCCTCCCGGACCGGGACATGAACCCACGTCCCCTGCATCGGCAGGCGGACCCTCAACCACTGTGCCACCAGGGAAGCCCTATTATTATTATTTTTAATCTTAGTCTGGCTGCGCCGCAGGGCATGCGGGAACTTCCCAGACCAGGGATCGAACCTGCGCCCCCTGCAGTGGAAGCGTGGAGTCTTAGCCACTGGACCACCAGGGAAGTCCTATTATCCTCTCTTTAAATGGAAGTTGCTGACTAAAGAAAATTCAGCAGTGCAAAACTTTCCATGAAGCGACACCCACCCTCCCCCTCTGCACAGGGAGCCAGGGACAGAAGTGGGCATGTCCTTCTGAATCCTGCAGTAACCTGAGTGCAGTAACTCGAGGTCTCCGGGCCCTGCAGTGACTGGGTGGGCTGATCCCAGTGCCTCTCTCTCTCTCTGCAGCCACTGCAAAGATGGGGTCATGAGCTGTGGTAGCAGAGCCCCAGGTAAGGGTGACAGGGAGGGTGGAGCCTCCTTCATGGTAGTGGGGTTGTGGAGAGGGGCGTGGAGAGCTCGAGGACAGACCAGGACAGGGACACCCCACCCCAGGTCTTGTGCCACACCGAGCCTTCTGTGTTCTTTGCCCTCTCGGGAAAGGTTCCAGCTTGGAGGGTGGCATTGTGAAATCCTGTCCCAACCTCAGCCCCACTCAAGTGGCTGTCCCTCCCGCTTCTCGAGGAGATGCTGAGACTCCATCTCCCTCAGGGGTAACCAGTTGGGGTATCTGAACAGTCCCTTGACCTCCCCTGGGTCCTGGATTTCCTCTGTCTGAACCATCATGTGTCTACTGAGGCTGACTCTGTGTCCAGTGCAGGATGTGGGATCACAGCAGTGGGGAGGATAGGCTGAGCCTTTGAGACGCTCACAGGCAGTAGAGATGGGGGCATCAGGGTGGCACACTGGTGGATCAGCCTGTGAGGGCCCTGGAGGTGGTAGGGCAAGGAGGCTGGAACCTTCAGGGAGGACCTCCTGGGGTGGATGATGCCACTAAGTATGGAGATTGGCACAGAGGAGATCAGAGAATAATCATATGGCAGGTGGCAAAGAGCAGGGCCTCCAAACTCAGGTAGCCCTGGGTTCAGATCCTGCCCAGCACTCACTACCTGTGCAGCCCTGGGTAACTCACTTCACCTCTCTGAACCTTCGCTTCCTCTCTTGTATATAACCTAGATTCCTATGTTCTCCCCACATTTCATGTATGTCCCTGAGAGTGTTTTTCTTTTTGTTGTTTCTGGCTTCAGGTTTCTGCCCTTTAGGACTTTCATTTCATCTCCTGTAGCTATCCCTTTCTCTCTGTTCCATCCCAGGGTGGGCATAGAACTCAGACCCCCTTTATTGATTTTCCTAAAAAAGATCGCTCACATGGTATAAGTGTATACGGCCGACATGACTGAAGGCTCTGGGAGAGAGAGTGGGTTTATGTCACAGAAATACAGGTAAATGGGAAGTTGACTTCCATGTTGTTAAAAGTCCCCTGGCCACCTGCCACACTGCATGGCTATCCTCTTTCTGGCTCCTCTTCTGGTCCCTCTGGGGCACTTCCTCTCACCTTATCATGCCTTTGAAAGCAGAAGTGACTTCTCTCCATTATATGGGAAAATAGGGGATAGTAATACCTCACAGAGTTGTTGCAGGATCGAATAAGAAAATGCACATGAGGGGCCTGGAACAGTACCTGGTGGAAAGGACATGACCAGTAATTGGTACTGGTGGTGGTTGTCCTATGGTGGGACAGCACATACCCCTCCCGCCCACTGTGATGTGCGCTTGGGAACCCAAGGAATGCCTCAGGGGCAGCAAGGGCATGAGAAAGCATCAGAGCCCCATCTCTGCCTGCATCCTCCAGATGCTGGTCCCCAGGTCTCCCTGGCCCCCCCTGCTGCCCAGGAACCCACCCCAGGCCCAGGTGTTCCGAGCATCCTGCTGAGTGTCCAGGCTCTTGCCAGCACCACCCTCTCCTCTTCCAGCTGCTGCCTGTCCAGCAGGCCAGGTCTTCGTGAACTGCAGTGACCTGCACACCGACCCTGAGCTGAGCAGAGAGAGGACGTGTGAGCAGCAGTTGCTGAACCTGAGCCTGAGCGTGCCAGCCCGTGGCCCCTGCCTCTCGGGATGCGCCTGTCCCCAAGGGTATGTATCTGCGTTGCCATGGGCTACCACTCCCGAAGGCTGGCAGAACCAGGGACCGTAACGTGGAGTGAGGGGCAGGGAAAACCTCACACAGCCTTGCAGGGAGGCACCAGCCCACAGCTGGCCAGTGACAGTATAATGACCAGTGAGAATCTGAGAAAGAGCAGTTGGGTGGGGAGCCAAGCTGGAGGGGGATCCACCTGCCTCTGCTTCTCACCAGCATGTGGCCTTGGACAAGGAAGGGGCCTAGCTCCTTTGAGGCTCAGTTTTTCATCTGTAAAATGGGAATAATAATAATTCCTACCACCTCAAGAGATTGTTGGAGGATTAAGTGAGGTGCCAACCACTGGATGGGTGCCGGGCATACCCTAGAGGCCTCATGGGCTGAAGACTATGAGAGAGGAAACCCGTGTTTAGCTCTCAGCCTTCATCCCTGCAAAATTCTGACCAGGTGGAGGGCTCAGGCCCCTGTAATACTTGAAAAAGAAAGGCCCCACCCTGTGGAAGTAGTCTCCCTCCTGGGTGCCCGAGATGCTGCCATCACAGCTGGGTGATCTGCATGAGCTGAGTTTTGTAGGCCGCCTCATTGATGCTCTGCATGCCGAGGTGGCTGCAGGGGCCCAGCGCCCCGCTCTGCCAGTCCTCGTTCCTGATGCTGGTCTTGCTTCAGGTCTAGGCTGAGAAGACAGTTGGGCACCTCGTCCCATGACTTGGCAGCACTGGGCTGTGTCCTCAGCCTGTGCGGAGAACAGGGCTAAACTGGGAGTCCCAGCCCAGGCCCGGCAGCCAAAGCACGTGAGAAGGGGGTCAGAGCTTCTAGGGTCGGAAAGGGAGGGAATAGTCAGTTGGAGTTTCGCTGTTTATAAAACACCTTGATATAATGATCTCCTTCAATCTCAGAGCATCCTCGGGAGAAAGGAGGGGAGGATCATTATTCCCATTTTGCAGATGAAGACACTGAGGCCAAGGGTGGGGTGCAGGGAAGTGGTCTGCCCAGAGATCCATGACTCAAACCCAACTCTGCTTACTGCAAACCCTGCCCTTTGGCCAGAGCGTGCTGGCTCTGTGAGGCCTGGAGTCTGGTCCCTACACAGAGGTCATGATGTGGTTTATGAGCCTGCCCTTTCCCAGGCAAGGGCATCCACAAGGGAGCCCTGTGAGGTTTGGAGAACTCGCACAGGACCCTAGGCCCAAGACTCTGCATTTCTAACAAGCTCCCGGGGGTTGCTGATGCTGCTGGTCTAGGAGCCACACTTTGAGTAGCAAGGTTCTAAAGCAATGTCCAACATGAGGGATTAGTTTAACTCAGAAGATCCCGAAGCCAGAGTGGGGCTCCCTTTTCAGTCCCCAGGCTCCAAAGGGTAGGATAGGATGTGAAGATTTCTAAGGGCTCGGTGACTTTTGACGAGTTACATGACCACTTGGGCCACAGTTCTCTTGTCTGTGAGGCCCGGCTGGCTGTCTGCAGGACCAGTCTGAGCAGGACAGTACCTGAATCCTCTTCCTCCGCTTCTGGCCTCCCAAAGTTCAAGCCGGGTCCTGGCGCTGTGCAAAGAGCATCCACGGTCCAGAGGACTTAATGTTTGTCACTAGCTGTGTGATGTCGGACAGGTCACTTAATGTTTATGAGCCTGAGTTTGCTCACCTGTGAATTGAGGACAGTAACACCTACGGTGCAGGATTCTTGTGAGATTTAAAGAAGACAGCGGCTGCCAGGAGCCGGGCACAATAAGTGCTCCAGAGAAACTCGTCCTCTTCCCCTTCTTAGTGTTGAACCCCCATCACCTCTTGGGGTATTTGCCCTAGTGGCTCACGTGCTGTATCAAATGCCCTATGAGGAGCTTATACAGGGGCTTGTCAAAGGGAAATTGTTACAGCCTCAACAGAGGCCAGAGCTTCTCTCTGCATGCTCCTGTCTGTGGTGGGCACACAGAAGGTGCTAGGGATGCAGGCAGGTCTGCAAAAGGCCAGGAGGGAGCAGTGGATGGTAGGCGGCAGGAAAGGTCCCCTCCCCGGGTGGATGGTGGGGGCCAGGGAAGGGCCTGGGGGTGAAGATGGAAGGCGGTGAGCCAGCCCATCACTGGTGCCTGATGCAATCATGGAGAAAGGAAGGGCAAGAAACCAATATTTATTGTGTATCTACTAAGTGCCAGGCAGTGTGCCCAGGTCTATAATTAAATTCTCGCAATGATCTTGGAAGAAGGCGGCGTTACCCCTGTTTCACACATGAAAAACCGGAGGCTTAGAAAGGTTAAGCGGCTTCAGGTAGAGCACTGTGGATTAAGCACATGCTTTTTTATTATTTTCCCGCTTCCTCTGACTATCGCGATGACATGTTGGTAATGGAGTAAAAAAAAGTATAAATCACCAGGGACAAGGGGAGCAGGGATGGGATGACAGTGGCATGAGATGGGTCAATAGTTTTTGAAGAAGGAACGAGGGTGGCTATGTAGAAACTGACCTTGCAGAGCAGAGGATGACAGCTGATGCTTGTGGAGAAGGAAGGCCAAGGAGAAACAGCCTACATGGTGTTGACGGCTTGAGGAACAGGAGGCTCCAGGCATCTCAGAAAGAGGGGTGGTGGGAGCAAGACAGGAGGATGAGGTGCAAGTCTGGGTAAGGAGCAGTTAAACTCCTGGATTCCCTAACCCCATCCAGCAGAGAAAGGTGGTAAGAGTTTCTAGAAATGTCAAGTCAGAGGCTTTGATCTCAGGGACACAGGGAAGGATGAGATGTAGAGTGAAAATAGGGAGATTGACTGAAAGCCTGCTGGGACCCAGCCTTCTTCCCCAGCTTGGTTCCCAGGATGGTGGCATCAAAGTTTTTGCCTCCCAGGCCAGAAGTGAAAGATGATTCTTCTCCTGCAAATTGGCTGGGCCAAGAGATAAAAAACTCTAGAAACTGACATTTTGGGGGTTCCACAACAAAAATGATGGCCCCCCTCTTAAATATGGAGCTTCCAATCAATGTTTCGTGTCTCACTCTATTTCCTTTTAATTTTTTAAAAGTGAGGCATAATTTATATACAGTAAAACACACAGATTATAAGTATACAGTTTGCTAAGCTTTGATAAATTTATACCCTCTTGTAACCCACACCTCCATCAAGATAGAGAACACTTCTTTCCCCTCAAAAAATTCCTTTGAGCCTTATGCTTTTTCCTAGTTAGTGCCTCCCCCATCCCTCCACCATAGTTCTTTATTTTGGCATAGATAGTCTCTGCCTGTTCTAGAACTTCATGAAAGTAGAATCATGCAGTATCTACCCTTTGATGTCTGGCTTCTTCTCCTTAGCATATGTCTTTGAGGTTGATCCACGTTGTTGCATTTTCCAGTAGTTTGTTTCTTTTTATTGCTCAGTAGTATTCCATTGTATGAATATACAGTAGTTAAGTTATCCACTCAAATGTTGATGCATATTGGGGTTATTTACAGTTTGGGCTATTTTAAATAAGGCTGCTTTCTCTTGGATGAACAGTTCAGCATGGAAGTGAGTCCTAGGGTAGATGTATGTTTAACTACGTAAGAAATTGCCAGATTACTTTCTAAAACATTTGTACGGCTTCACCTTCTCATTGCGCGAGAGTTCTGCCTGCACCGCATCCTCACTAACACGTGATGTTTTCAGTCTTTCTCATTTTTGTTATTTTAGTGAGAACATAGCCGAATAGCATTATGGTTTTAATTTGTATTTCCCTAATGACTAATGATGAGTACTTTTTCATGTGTTGTTTGGCCATTTGTATGTCTTCCTTTGTAAAGTGTCCATTCGAGTCTTTTGCCTACTTTTTATTTAGCTGATTTTTTAAAAAATTGAGTTGTAGGGACTTCCCTGGAGGTCCAGTGGTTAAGACTCCACACTTCCAATGCAGGGGGCTCAGGTTTGATCCCTGGTTGGGGAACTAGATCCCGCATGTATGCCGCAACTAAGAAGTCCACATGCTGCAACTAAAGATCCCACGTGCCACAACTAAGACCCGGTGCAGCCTAAATGAATAAGTAAATAACTTTGCTTGTAAAAAAAAATTGAGTTGCAGAAGTTATAGATTCTGGATGCAAGTCCCTTGTCAGACATCTGTATTGCAAATATTTTCTCCCAGTCTGTGGTTTGCCTATCCATTTACTTACAGTGTCTTAATATGTCTAAAAACTTCTGATGAGCAGAAGGTTAAAATATTGGTGATGTTTACCTTATCACTTTTTTCTTTATGATTAGTGCTCTCTGTGTCCTAAGAAATCTTTGACACAGTTCCAAAGATATTCCTCTATGTTTTCCTCTAGGAGCTTTATAAATTTTGCTTTTACATTTGGATCTATAATCTATCTAAAATTATTGTATTTTGTATATGCTGTAAAATGGAGTTGTTTCATTTTATTTTTTCTGATGGATATCCAGTGGTTCTAGCCGCATTTAAAAAAAGACTTTACTTTCCCTATTGAATTGTTTTGGCACCTTAAAAAAAAAAATCAATTGACTATATAAATGTCGGTCTATTTCAGGACTCTATTTTTTTTTTAAACATCTTTATTGGAGTATAATTGCTTCACAATGGTTTGTTAGTTTCTGCTTTATAACAAAGTGAATCAGTTATACATATACATATATTCCTATATCTCCTCCCTCTTGTGTCTCCCTCCCACCCTCCCTATCCCACCCCTCTAGGTGGTCACGAAGCACCGAGCTGACCTTCCTGTGCTGCTTCCCACTAGCTATTTTACATTTGGTCGTGGATATATGTCCATGCCACTCTCTCACTTCGCCCCAGCTTACCCTTCCCCCTCCCTGTGTCCTCAAGTCCATTCTCTACCTCTGTGTCTTTATTCCTAGGACTCTTTATTCTGTTCCATTGATCTATTTGTCTATCTTTAGGCCAATATCACACTGTCTTGATTTTTGAAGGTTTATAGTAAGTCCTGAAATCAGAAATTGATAGTGTTCCGACTTTGTTCCTTTTCAAAGTTTTTTTGGCACTTCTAGGTCTTTGAATTCCAATGTAAATTTAGGACCAGCTTGTCAACTTCCACAAAACAGCCTCTGGGATTCTGATTGGGATTGTGCTGAATCTATAGGTCACTTTGGGAGAACTGACATCTTCATACTAGTGAGTCCTCCGATCTGCAAATATGTCATTATTGCTCCATTTACTGGGCCTTCTTTAATTTCTCTCAGCAGTGTTTCATAGTTTTCACCTAAGGTTTTGCACATTTGTCATTGAATTTATTTATAGATATTTGGTGTTTTTGTCTTTCATTCCATCTAAGTTGTCAAATTTATAGGCACATCTATGATGATTTTTCACCTAGTCTATCAGTAATGGAGAAGAACGTTGAAATCTCCAACTATAATTGTGCTTTTGTCTCCTTTCTCCTTTTAGTTCTATGAGTTTTTGCTTCTGTTTTTGAAGCTCTCATACTTGGTGCATGCCCATTTAGGATTCTTATGTTCTCTTGATAAATTGACTCTTTTGTTATTATGAAATAGCCCTCGTCATTGCTGTTAATACTACTTATCTTGAAGTTCTACTTTGTCTAATGTTAATATAGCCACTCTGTCTTGTGACTAGTGTTTGCATGATATCTTTCCCCATCATTTTACTTTTAGCTTATCTGTGCCTTTATATTTCAACTGTGGCTTTTGTAAACAAAATATAGTTGGGTCTCGCTTTTTTCACCAGTGTTACGGTTTCTCCCTTGTAATTAGAGGGTTTATGCATTTGCCTTTAATGTAATTGGACTGAGTTTAATACTACCATCTTGTTATTTGTTATCTGTTTGTCCTTTCTTTGTTTTTTCTTTTTTTCTTTCTTCTTTTGGGTTCAGTATTTTTTAGTATTCTATTTTTTTCTCCTTTATTGCATTTCAAGTATATATCCTGGTATTTTCTATTTTTGTGGTTCTCTAGAGATTACAATATGTATCCTTCATTTATCACAGTCTACCATGAATTAATGTTTCACCACTTTAGGTAGAATACTTGTAACAGTCTGCTTTCATTTACTTCCTTCTTGTCCTTTGTACTATTATTGTCATACATTTTACTTCTACGTGTGTTATAAACCCCACAATTCATTGACATTAATCTTGTTCTAAATGCTCAGTTATCTCTTAAAGAAATTAAAAATAATTAAAAAAATATTTACCAACATATTTTCTACTTTTGGAGCTCTTCATTCCATGTGAATCTGAGTTTCCATCTTCCTGAAAAATTCCCTTTAACATTTCTTTTCAGTGCAATCTACTAGTTACTCTGTGAGCCACCTGAGTAGGGAGGGTCAATGCCCATGTCCATGGTCTGTTCATTAGTATACATCTAGTGCCTATGGGACAACTGGCATCCAGCCTGGCTGGCGGGTGGGGGGCAGCATGTGGCTGGTAGAGCTGAGCCTTGCTTCCTGATGTATGGCAGAGACTTCTGAGCTGGGCCAAGTCTGTCTCTGGTTTTTCCAGTTACCGAGGTACCTCTGAACCCCACTGGGCAGCAGCAGGATGCTGTGGGTACGTGGCCACTCTCTTCCAGGGTAAATGCTGAGAGCCACTCTGGGGCATCCGTGTGGATACAGGGTCCTCCACAGGTGACAGAGGTGGGAAGGGTGCTCTCCTGACCACCTGCTTGCTGTGTCCTTTTAGCCTGCTCAGACACGGGGATGCCTGTTTCCTGCCAGAGGAGTGCCCATGCACTTGGAAGGGGAAGGAGTACTTCCCTGGGGACCAGGTCATGTCTCCCTGCCATTCCTGGTAAGTGAGGGCCCCATCCAGGCTCTGCTTTTTGCTGGGGGTGAGGATGGACATGGGACGCACTATCATGGGTACAATCTAGCATCCCCCCTCAACCATGTTCATATTCATGTTGTGTGTTTCTGTGCTATGTAGGGGTTTGTGTATATATACAAGTGTACACATAGAAAGAATTTTGGGGAGTGTTTTTGTGAGTATTTACACGAATGTGAGTTTGATCAAACATGTATATGAATGTGTGTAGATGTGTATTTGTAATCATGAGGATGTGTTTGCATATGTATATGGATGTGCAAGTGTGGGCACGTGTCCAAAATGCATAGACTGCATATGTGAATGTATACGCACATGCATATGTATGAAAAGCTGGGCATTCATAATCCTGAATATGTTAGTGAATACATACAGTTATGAATTTGTGTATGTATACAGCTATATTTATATACATTTGTGTGCATCTCCATCCATTTAGTATGTGGGGACATGTATGTGCAAAGTGTGTGAATATGTGCACGCACTGGTTGTGCGTATTTGTATTTACATGTAAGTGAACAATATGTAAAATGTGCATTTGTGATTTCCTATGAATATGTACGTGCTTATATGTGCGAGTAAGTTTATATGTGAATATATTTGCACACTGTCTATCTGTTAATATAAGTATACATACGTGAGAGTGTGTGTACCTGGATTGAATTCTTTGAAAACGGGCTTGGGGCCAGTTCTGTAGAGCCTGCCCTGGGCCAAGCAGCAGGCAATGGAAGTGGGTAGAGACTCAACCTCCTAAATATCCTCCCAGGCTTCCACTGCTGCTGTGCCTAACTCATGTTAATTCACTTTCCAAAGGCTTGGCTCCTGGAAGTGTCTATGGTGATTCTTTTTTTAATTAACTTGTTTTCCCACTCTCCACCTGTCCTCTGCTTCTGGGAAAGCTGAGCATCTCTCCCACCTTGTAACCACCTAAATCTTGAGGTTCCCCAATGACCCCCCCCTCCCACAAAGGCCTTATAACTACCCCAACAGCTAATGAGGCCTTTCAACCCATGCCTTCCAGGCTGGGCGGCCTCTGTTGTGGCCTCCTTTGCCAGATGTCCTCTGTGTTCCTGGCACACAGAGGCATGTGGAGCCTCCCTGACATTCCCCCTGTGCCCTTGCGCCCCTGCAGAAGGCCCGACCTGGGCTTTCCAGGGCTCTGAGAGTCCAAGTGCTGCTCCAGCCCTGATGTGTCTGCAGGATCAAGGTGGCCCTGCCACTGCCCCAGGGCGTCAGGGGACACATCAGGGACCCCCTGAGCCCTGGCTCCTACAACTCTCTGGAAAATGGCCAAAGCACATCAGCTAGACTAGTGGGCCTAGGGTGAAGAGGGCAAGGAAACAGGACGAGGACCCCTCAAAGAGGTCTGGCCAGCTCATACCAGTGGGGGTCCCCACCCATTGGAACCTATTCCTTCTTAGCCCCACATCACATTCCAGTGACTGTCCAAGGGGTTGGGCTGGGCACAAGACCCTGTGTAAAGTAACTTCAGGTCAGGCTTGGTGTATTGATTCCTGGTCTGGTGTTTCGGAGATGGGTGTGTTCTGTATGAGCCCTTTCCAGCCACTCAGCTCCCCTGAACCCTACGTCTCTTGTAGGCTGAGGAAGGTCTCCTAGACTTCGGGATTCATCTCGCATTAATGAGTGTGTGCTCCATCTCTCTGCTCCCTTTTTATTGCAGAGCTTCTCAAAACAGTTGTCTATATTTGCTGCTTTCAATTCCTCTTCTCGCATTCTCCCTTCCATTCCACGAAAACTATCCCTACCAAGGTCACCGATAATCTCCATGGTGTTATATCCAGTGTTTATCACTTGGTCCACATCTTCCTAGACCTATTAGCAGCATTTGACACAGTCAGTCATTTGTTATCATTCTCTACCATCATACCTTTCTTCATGTGACTCTGGGATTCCCCACCCTCTTGATTTTTCCTCCTGCCTCTCTTTTTTTCTTTTGCGGTACGCGGGCCTCTCACTGTTGTGGCCTCTCCCGTTGCGGAGCACAGGCTCCGGACGCGCAGGCTCAGCGGCCATGGCTCACAGGCCCAGCCACTCCGTGGCATGTGGGATCTTCCCGGACCGGGGCACGAACCTGTGTCCCCTGTATCGGCAGGCGGACTCTCAACCACTGCTCCACCAGGGAAGCCCCCCCCCCAATCCCCTTTATCTTGCTTCTTCCCCCCCACAGCACTCATCACCTTCTTACCCACTCTATTACCTACTCATGCTTACTTATTTAGTGTGTAGCTTCCTCCTCTAGAATATAAGCTTCACAAGGGCAGAGGGTTTTTGCTGTTTTGTTCACTGATGTATCTGAAACTCCTAGAATAATGCCTGGGATATGGTAGATGCTTATGACTTGTTGAATGAATGAGTGAATGAATGAACGATTGGAGTGGTAAAGAGAGTGTGGACGTTGGAGTCAAATAGATCTGGATTCAGTCTTGGCTCTGTTATTTGTTGGCTTAACCTCTCTGAGCCCCAGTATGTCCTACATAAAATGGGGACGCACCCTGCCACCCTTTGGGCATCTGTTGGAGGTCAATGATGTTTGTTGACCTCTGGCCCAGGGGCACACAATGGGTGCTCAATGGGCACACAGTGGGCGCTCGATGGGCAGTGGCTCCATCTTGGACATTCAGGGTGGGGGCAGGGCATGCCCTGTCAGGGGTCTGGGCATGTGTGTTTCAGTGTGTGCCAGCACGGCTCGTTCCAGTGCGCCCTCCACCCCTGTGCCTCCACCTGCACCGCCTATGGCGACCGGCATTACCGCACGTTTGATGGGCTCCCATTTGACTTCGTGGGAGCGTGCAAAGTGCACCTGGTCAAGGTTAGTGCCTGGGTGTGTACCAGCTGGCTCTACAGGGACCCAGAGCAGCTGGTACATAATTAGGTGGGTGGGAGGATCTAAGCCCTGGTGTGTGGCAATTTAGAGACGCAAGATTGGGGCTGGACAGAGCCCACCAGTCTGCCTGTCCTCCTGCCAGTCACCATTATAACCTTGCCCCCTTGGGTGCCAGTGGTTTTTCTGTCTGTAATAGTAAAAGCAAATGCTTTCTGGGCTTTTATTATACCCCTGGTGGTCTACCAAGCCATTTTAAAGCATTATTTCACTTAACTCTTACAGCAAGACAGAGTTTATTGAGCCCATGTTATAGCTGGAGTAACTTGGGCTTAGGGAAGTTGGTATCTCACCCGAGACCACACAACTAGTCAGGGACAGAATTGGGGTCAGGTTGGAACCAAGAAATCTGACTGGAGAGTTGGTGTGCAGGCAGGATCCCCTCCAGAAGGAGAAAAGGGTACCAACAGGGTGGGTGGGAGAGTGCCTCAGACACATTCAGGGACCTTGGTTTTGCTAAGGGCCTGTCCATCTCATTATATGATAGTAAAAGTAACAGTAATAATAATAATAATAATGACAAACCTTCTATGGAATAAGTCCTATCTATGGGGCAGGCACTGTGCTGGGGTCTTTCACATAATTTCAATAACTCCACAAGACAAAGATTATAGACCTTGTTTTATTTTTTAAATTTCAAAGGTTTTGCATGCTCTTCACTAACATTTAAAACAATATAGAAGCATATATTAAAAACAAATATTCCTCCTCACATCTCTTCTGTTCCTATTCCCTGCTGAATAAGCACTCATAACAGCTAGGTGTGAATCCTGCAAGATCATTTTCCATAAGACAGACAGACAGACAGACAGACACACACACACACACGTTTTGTTTAATTTCTATGAATAGAATCCTGCAATTTGGTTTTATCACTTAATAGTATATTTTGGACATTATCTCATAGAGTCAGTAAATTTTTCTTCTTCTTTTTGTAGAATTCCACAGAAAAGATGTACTCTAGTTTGTTTGGTAATTCGCCATTGATGGACATTTCTGTTGTTGTCAATATTTAAATGCTCAATGAATACTTGTGTGGATGTGTCTCTAGACGCTTAGAAGTAGAATTGCTATAAAAGTTATACGTTTAGAAATGTTGTCCAGTGCCTGCAAATTGCCCTCCAAAAAGGCTTACATTACCATCATCAGTGTGTGTAAGACGGTGCCCCTTCCCCTACAACCCTGTCAACACCAGTCATCCCTATTATATATTCATTCATTCCCTCATCAGACACTTTTTGGAGAATCCCTACATGCTAAACACTGTACCAGGCACCCAAAACAAAACTGAACTTCAGAGAACTGAAGTAAGTTGCCCAGAGTCACAGCTCATATGAAGTAGAAGTGGGTGGAAAACTATTTCAGAGTCTGTGTCCCCCTACCGCATGCCTCTCATCAGAATCTCTTCTCTCCCTGGTTTATTGCACTAACTTATTTCTCCTCAGAGCACATCAGATTTCAGCTTCTCTGTGACTGTAGAGAACGTAAACTGCTACAGCTCTGGCATCACCTGCAGGAAATTTATTTCCATCAACGTCGGGAACTCACTCATCGTCTTCGATGACGACTCAGGAAATCCCGTAAGGCCTGGTGCAGGGGAAGGTTGTATGGACAGTTTGCTGGTTAATAGGGGGCAGAAGAGGGCTAAGGACTGGTTTCCTTACCACAGCACTTTCTCTTGGCGCCACTGAGTCCGCAGCCCAGATTGAATTCCTTGGCCACGGCCAGGAGCCCAGAGGTCAATGTCAGGGCGTGAGGGAGGCAGAGGAATTGGTGAACTCCTGGGGCCGGGCAGTGACTTGTAGCCAGGACCAGCTGACCCAGGTGTTGGGGGACACTCTGGCCTCAGGAATGGCCACCTCTGTCCCCCTAGAGTCCGGAGAGCTTCCTGGATGAGAAGCAGGAGGTCCACACGTGGCGAGCAGGGTTTTTCACGCTGGTGCATTTCCCACGGGAACACGTCACCCTCTTATGGGACCAGAGAACCACGGTGCACATTCAGGCGGGGCCACAGTGGCAGGTAGTCATGTGATCAGTGACCCTCACGGGCCCTGTGCTCCTTCCTAGAGCCAAGCCACCCCACTGGGTGTCCTTGCATGAGCTGTACCCTCGCCAAAGAGCCAGGAGCTTCATGCCTGCTGTCCTATCTGCCCCACCCGACTCTGGGCCCCTTCTCCTCTGACTCTTCTCTCTCTGCACACTGTGACCCCAGTAGTTGCTTCTGGGCCCACGACAGACTCCTAGGCTCAGGGCGACCCCTCTGCCTGTGGCTCACCCTCGGAATGCCTGAAACTGACCATTCTCTCTTCTTTCAGGGCCAGCTGGCAGGACTCTGTGGGAACTTTGACTTAAAGACCATCAATGAGATGAGGACCCCAGAGAAGTTAGAGTTAACTAACCCCCAGGAGTTTGGTGGCAGTTGGGCTACAGTTGAGGTAAAACCTCTCCAAGCTGGCTCACTCCTCTCACCCAAATGGACCCTGGTCACACGGAGAGAAACTGGCCACAGGTCAGGGGAGAGGGACATTGGTGCAAGGCTGCTCCTGCAACCTCTCTCTCAGCTTCTGACCCAGCATCCTCAGCCCTGGACTCTGTCCTGTGGCCTGAGGACATGCACCATCCCATCTCACACATCAGACCCCAGACCAAGCCCTGGTAGGAGGGCTGAGGCTGGGAAGGAGACAAAGTCTCTGTCCTAGGAGAGATGACCACCTAGTAGGGAAGATGAGTCTTGTTGAAGCATTACCATTCTTACCCATCTCTGTGCCCCTGTGCCTGGCGATAGGTCTGGCACACAGGAGAGACCAAGAGAGACCCGCATGGGTTGGGGCAATTAGAGAAGGCTTCCTGAAGGTGGTGGCACTAGTGTGGTACTTAAATGATAGACCATATTTGGATGGAGGAATGTATCAGAGAGAGGGAGGACAATATTAGCAGAGGCAGAAATGATAGGGGATGTCTCTGAGGTTTGGGAGATGTCTGAGGCTGCCAAGCTGTGAGCGATGGGGGGAAACATCACTGAGCTGACAGCAGGAGATCTGGGTTCTTGTCTTATTCTTTTACTTAAAAAGTTACTTTATTTTGTTTTTCTTTTGTTTGTTTTATTATTTGGGGTTCTTGTGTTAGATCATCCAGTGACTTGCTGGGTGACCTTGAGTAAGTCCCATCTTCTCTGTGGTTCTCTGTGAAGTGAAGGGGCTGGGAGAGGGATAATGGATAGATTTCACTTCATGTGACAAATCTGATCAGTCAGATGAGGCTGCCTGGGCAGCTATGTTGAGAAATACCAACACTTGTGTCAGGCTCAGCTGGAAGCACTGTGAGTGATTAGTTATGTCTGCCATGGGTGCTGCATTAGAGAGTGGTGATATGAGTGTTAGATATTTGCCTTTCCTGGACCGAGTGATCTTAGGTTCCTAGTTCTCTGTTGGGGAGTAGGTGGAGATAAGCCTATGTAGACTGGTGTCAGGGGAGCAGTTAGTCATGGCCTGGAGCTAAATGTAATCCTGAGGTGGGGCAAGGCTGTTCTCACAGCCTCAGAAAAGTATGCTCTAACCCATTCCATTTTAGAGAAGCTGAGTGGGTGACTCACCTTTATTGCTTCCCTCCTCTCACCCTTCACTGTCATTTCTCTCTCAATAATCCGCTTAGGCATACCCTGGGGGGCTCTAGTGACAATGTAGGCCGGGGGAGGAGGTTCAGCAGACATCAGGGAAATCTGTATTAGTTTTCTATGGCTGTGTAACACAATAACTGCGGACTTAGCAGTATCCAACCACACACATGTGTTATCTCACAGTTTCTGTGGGTCAGGGGTCAGGGCACAGCTTGATTCGGTTCTCTGCATACAGTATCACAGGCTGCAGCCAAGGTGTCAGCCAGGGCTGGGCTCTCATCTGAAGGTTCGACTGGAGAGGGATCTGCTTCTCTGACCACTCATGTGGTGTTGACAGCCATTCCTTGTAGTCATAGAACTGAGAGCTTTAGTTTTTTTGTGAGCTGTTGGCCCAGGACGACCCTCAGCTCCTAGAGACCACCCACCATTCCTGCCACGTGCCATTCACAGCCAGCAAGGGAGAGACTCCAGCCACATGGGCTCTGCACTCTTATATAACATGACAGTGCAGTCACTGGCACATAACCACATCCATGTGTCACCTTTGCTGTCTTTTGTCGACTTGTCAGTTTGGTCCCTCCCACATTCAAGGGCAGGGGATTATACAAGGATGTGAACACAGGAGGCCGGGATCAAGGGAGCCACTCTAAGAGTCTCCACCACATCAGGCAACAGGCATTTGAGGGGTAGGGAGATCAACAGCGCTGCCTTTGCCCCCTCAGTGCCCAGACACCCTCGACCCCCGAGACACATGTGTCCTGAATCCTCTCCGAGAACCCTTTGCCAAAAAGGAGTGCAGCATCCTGCTCAGCGAGGTGTTTGAGACCTGCCACCCTGTGGTGAGTGGACTCCAGGCTTGGCTACTCCTGGGCCCCCTTCCCACCTCCCTGGAATCCCTTCTGCTCTCAGACCCTCCATGCCTTGGAGAGACACCTCAGGTCTAGAGGAAGGATTCACCTCTGCCATTCCCTTGCCTCTGGTCTGCTCGGATGAGTCTGCCCTGTTTCCCTGGGACAGACACAGTCAAACAGCTTCTGTGCCCTTTTCAAGCCTATCTCAATCTGGCTCTTCCTCCCAGTCAGGAAGTTCTTCTGAATGGTGAACACAGACCCCTCATGCTGTGGCATCAGCCCTCAGTGGAGACAGAGGAGAGCTGGTGCTCAGCTCTGCATGGCCCCCTCCAGGGCCTCGAAGGCTGCCGTCAGATGGGCTTTGGCTGTCTCTGGCCCTGGCTGGGGGTTCACACCCCACGTCTGTTTCTCAGCCACACCCTAAGCCCTTGGATCCAATAGCCTAGGCCCAAGGAAGGAGAAAGCTTAGTTCTCAAAAGCAGGGTCTACCTGGGTCACGGAGTTAACGTTTCCCTCTCAGCTGCCTGCCTTTCTGTCCTCACCCCACATGGGCAGCTCGCCCCATCCTGTGGTCCCTTCACGTTTATGCTGCTCCCTGAGGCTGAGTGGCATCAGCCCAGAAGCTGAAGGGCTAACATTCAGGGTCTGTCCTCTGACATCTGACTTCTGACTTCCTCTAGGTCGATGTCACTTGGTTTTACTCAAACTGCCTGACAGACACATGTGGGTGCAGCCGGGGCGGTGACTGTGAGTGCTTCTGTGCCAGCGTGTCTGCCTATGCCCACCAGTGCTGCCAGCATGGGGTGGCCGTCGATTGGAGGACCCCGCACCTTTGCCGTGAGTATCCAGACCAGTCACCCGAGGGGGAGAGTGGGGCCCCTTCTGTGGGCAGGCCTGTGGGGTCCCATCACTCTGGCTTGTGCTTATCATTCATTGAATTCTTATAACTACCCTGTGAAGTAGGACTGTTTATTCCTGTTTTACAGTTGGAGAAATGGGCTAGAAAGAGAGAGATTAAGTAACATGCTCAAGGTCACACAGGTTGGTGGAGGAGCCAGGGCTCATCTCCATTGCAGATGGTCTGGCTGCAAACCCATGCTCTTAACCACTTTACCAGAGGAGTCAGGAGCCCTGGGTTCCAGACCCAGAGCTGCCATTTGCAAGCTGTGTGACCTCAAACAAGTCCCCCAACCTCTCTGGGGCTCCATTTTCTCATCTGAAAAATAGGAATAGACGTGTCCCACCAGGTTTATTGTAAGGGTCAAACGAGATAGTGAATGTGAAAGCCCTTTGTCAGGAGAGACTCATGGGGTCCATCAGAGGCATCACAAGATAGCAGTTTTTCTGGAGCACTGGTGGTCTGCAAATGCTTTTGGTTGCACACTCCTATCAAGTGAAAACATTTTGAGCACACACAACATGTGTGTGTATATATATATATATATATATATATATACACACACACACATACACATAGATGCATGTACGTATATATGTACTATTAGTAGTGTAAATGTATGTCACAAAACAGATACAAAAGTAAATATTTAAAAGATGAAATAAAATTCATAGAAATTTAAATGATTAATTAATTGATTATTATTTGTTTCTGCATACCAAACATCTTCCTGGTGCAAGACGCCTCACTTTGTGGTGCAGTGGTTATTATACAGGTGCTGGGGCCACACTGTCTGCGTTCAGACTCCAGTTCCACCAAGCAGGGTGACCTGGGGCATGTTCCTTATACTCTGACTAGTAATTGAGGGTTAAGAGAACTGTACCTTCCTTGCAGGGAGCTGTGAGATTTACGTGAGAAAATGCAGGTAAAGCACTTGGCACAGTGCTTGTGCCAAAGCCGAGGTTGCTGTCATTTTTCGTGGGGACATGGGTGCTGGCACGACAGCTCCAGGCAGGATGACCTCAGGAAGGAGATGGAGCAGAATCTGCCTTTGGCTTCCTTTTTCTTTGCCCATTTTACCGTGAGCCTCTTCTGTCACAGAAGCCTTGGGTCCTCATGCAGTCTGCTTCTCCTTCTACTTCTCTGATAAAAATCCTTCAGGAAGGAGAAGGGAACACACGTTTACTGAGAATCTACTGTGTGCCAGGCCCTGTGCCTTCTGTGCATTAACTCACTTAATATTCAGGCCTAGGGTGAAGCAAGTGAGGCCAGTTCCTGGAGCACAAGATTTAAGGGGGTACCAAAAAAGGCAATTTTTTTTTTTTTTTTTTTGCGGTACGTGGGCCTCTCACTGTTGTGGCCTCTCCTGTTGTGGAGCACAGGCTCCGGACGCACAGGCTCAGCGGCCATGGCTCACGGGCCCAGCTGCTCCACGGCATGTGGGATCTTCGGACCGGGGCACGAACCCGTGTCCCCTGCATCTTCAGGCGGACTCTCAACCACTGCGCCACCAGGGAAGCCCCAAGGCAATATTTTAAGGCAATATTAAAAAAAAAAGAAATCAAAACTAATGCAGAAACATCTCTGATGAACAAAATATCACAATTTTAAGTAATGACAGCCTCCATATTGTTGATTTTTCCTTTTGCCTCAGGCTCCAGTATGGCTCAGCAAGGTGCTGTCACTGATCTTGTCTATTTTAAAATTTTGATATTTTGTCCATCATGGATATTTTGCATTAATTTTGCAATTAAAAAATTGTATTAAAATATTACATACCCTGATTACTGAGATTTTTGAGGTCCCCCTAAATTTTGCACCTGAGGTGAGCACTTGCCTTACCGCAGTCCAGGCCTCCCACGCCTGTGGGGCAGATGGTAGTGGTAGTCCCCGTCCTACAGAGGAGGGCACTAAATTTCAGAGAGGTTGAGAAACTTGTCTCGGTATGCACAGCTGATGAATGAGAGAGATGGGATTTCAGTCCAGGTCTGCGGGTCTCTAGAGAGTTGGCTCTTGACGACTTCTCTGGGCGACCTCTCATTAACCTGGTACACAGTTGAAACCAGATACTTGGAGATCTTTTAATTTTCGAGTTCAGTCTTCTGAGTCCACAAGTGAGGAAAAGCACATACTTACCCATAGCCACGTGGTGGGTCAGTCTGCTGATTCCTGGTGCTGTTTCCAGAGGGCAATGCCAAATGCAAAGGAATAGTGTTCATCATGGGGCTTTGGGGGTGTGGGGTGGAGTTGGTGGCTGTCTTCAGACCATGCCTGTGAGTGAGGGAGACCCCTCCTCAGCCTTTGTCCCAGGTCTACTCGGTCAACTGGCTTTTCATGGTCTTGCTCCTGGCTTCAGGTCCCCCCTGCAAAATCCCCAGCTTATCCCAGCGGACTGAGGAATCCGTGGCCTACGTGCCAGGGGAACAAGCTGTGGTGCTGTGCTGCGCCACTAGGGGGCGTATGGAGCACATACTTGGAGGAGCTTATCAAAACCTGATGGAGACTGCACCCAGGGGCCTGAAAAAGGCTTGGATTCTGGAGGCCCTGGGTCCCTTCCTACTCAAGGCTGTTGAAAGACCGACTTCTATCTTGTGCTTGCATTCCTCCAGGACCTTCCACGACATTTCCGATTGGAAATTGCCCTTTGAGGTCACACAAAACATACCCTTCTGTCCCAGCATTCATTCATTCATTCATTCATTCATTTGGTACATGCCGAATGCCTACTCTGGGCCAGGCTTTGAGCTTTGTGTTAGGGGCACAGAGAGGGAGCCATTGTATTTCCTACACCTTAAGATATCTGGATCTAATGACCATGTCTGAATCTTGGTGTTTGGGAGACAGGCCAGGTCCACCCCTTGGGGAAGGAGAGAGGGCTGGGATGGGGCTTTGGCCCTGCGCATCTGTTCCAGGCTTCTCAAGAAGTCTCTGTTCTCTCTCTTTCAGCACATGACTGTGACTTCTTTAACAAAGGTAAGCTCATCCTCCCCAGGTGGAGCCTTGAAAGCTGGGGCACTGCCATCCCTGCCCTGGGGCCACAACAGTAGCAGCCATCCTGAGGCCCTGCTGGCCCTGGAGGAGCAGTCATGCAGACAGAGCCCTGACAGTGCAAGGCCCAGGGATGCCCCGGAACTCTGTCTCCAGCAGCTCCTGCAGCCTCTGTCCAGAGCCCAGGCCAGGCTAGCTTCCCGGGGATGTGCTCATGCGGGGCAGCTTCACCAGGAAGTGAAAACCCCATTTGCACCAACGTGCTGCCCCATAGCTTTCATAATCTAGCTCATCAGGCCCACAGGACATTGTCTTGGGTTTCCTGAAGTTTTGAGTTGGCAAAGGCAAATGCAAACTGCTCTTCCTTTGCTGGGGCGAAACTTACAGTCTGGCACAGCCTGTCAGATTCATCTTTAAGTTTAGCCAGTGTTGCAGGGCACCAGGATATGCTCCAACTTCTGCATTAACCAGGTCATGACTAAAGACCCCAGGGAGGTTAATGACCAGTGTTAGAATCCATGAGTCAATTTAATCACTGGAGTTGGGTGGGATTGGAGGGCTGCCCAGGAGTAGTTTTCAGCGCTGATCTTTGTGCGGTGGGGCCAGGTTGGCAGAATTAGATACTCATCAAGTCCTTGGTGCCATTCACCTTTGACTTCTGAGGTCCCCTCTGCCCCCACTTCCAGGCACCATCCTGCCAGGAGCAGGCCTGTACAGGTAAAGGCCCAAGGCTCCGTCCTCACATAACTGCATTATCAGATTTGGTTTGAGAAACGTCCTCTGGCGAGAGTATAGTGGGTGAAATAGTGGGGGGACTGACTAGAGAGACAAGGATTCCAGTTAGGGGATCCGTGAGATGAGGGCTGGACCAGGGTACAACATGATCATTCACAGTGCCTGCAGTCCCACCAAAATGCTAGCCTCAAGGGGCTCCTGATGGCCCAAACCTTTAACCCCTGACGGCAGGAATCTGCAATGGGAGGATTGCAGTCCCTGCACAGGCGGGGTCTGTCTGACACCAGGCAAGACATTTCAGCAAGACAGCTCTGAGCAGAGTGTTCTCCCTTCTGTGGCATTTTGGGTGGCAGTAACTGGCAAAGGACAAGCTGTTTCTAGCATCCTGCACCCGCCCACCCACCCACCCACCCATTCTTGCTCTGCTCTTCTACCAACATTTTCTTTGGTCCAGGCCTTTACCGAGCGCTGGGGATTCACCAGTTAATGAGACCTGTCCCAGTGGTGCTCTGGAGCCGGCCCACCCTGGCTTTCTAGAACCCACTGTGTGTTCTTCACTCCACATTCAGTCGGTAGTTTGAAGTTGACCACTGGTGGGAGTATTTTTTCACGGAAATCAGCAAACTTTACCAAATGGGGTTTTGTTTGCTTGTTCATTCTGTGAGAGCTGATTGTTAAGCCAGCACAGCACTGCCTGTGTCCTTTCTGGTAGGGAAGACAGACGTGGACCCCCGATCGAGACCCTCCTCATAAGAGCTGTGATCGGCATGAGCCATGCTCCGAGACCGCTGGAGCACAGGGGAGGGAGGACGCTTGCGTGCGGTGGGAGAGGGTGCCGGGAGAGCTTCACCACGAAGGTGACATTTGAGCTGGGCCCCAGAGATTGAGGAGGCGTTGGCCCCGGGCACAGAACGGGGTGTGGGGGGGGACTGCGCTGAGTGGGTGGGACAGCGCGAGTGAGACAGGAGGTAGGACACAGCACAGCTCTTACAAGGAAGAGCGAGAGAAATTCAGTGTGACAGTGGCAGGGGTTGGGGCGTGAAGGGCCCCTGAATCAAGCTGGGCTCTTGGAGTCTATCCTGAGGACAAAGGGGAGCCACTGAGGAGTCGCCGAAGGGAGTGTGGCTAGGAGGGTGACTGGAGGGCGGGCCACACCAGAGGCTGGGAGGTCAGTTATGAGGGCTGTTGCAGTGGTCTAGGAAACCCATGCCCCTGTCCAGCTTACTGACAACCGACCACCGCAGGAACCCAAGAGACACAGAGGTGATGCGTGTTTGAAATAAATAGATAAACACACATGCTGAGCCCAAGGCTTCCTGGCCTTTACCCTTCAGACCTCAGGTGGGTAGAGACCGGGTCTGGCATCTTCTCCCAGAGGCGACTCTGAATAGTGCAGCAGCTGGAATGGAAGAGTCTGAGGCAGGGGGAAAGGCCCATGGAGAGACGTTTGGGGGGCCCAGATGCCCCCCAGGGGTGGCCTTGTTTCCAGGCTTCCTGTGAAGTGATTTAGGTGCTGTGCAGAGGGTCAGGGGCTGGCAGCCTGGGGCTCCCGTCCCTTCCTTTTCATGGGAATCAAGGTCCCCGGGGCCGGGGGTGAGGGGCGTGACCAAGAGGAGCTCTTTAGCATCCTCTCTCCTCCCGCTTCTGGCAGGGCTGGGCAGGTAGTGATGGGAGGCGGGCACAGTCCCAGGGCGGCAGGGCTTATGACTGGGCCCCCTCTCTCCAGCACTAGGTAAGGGCCCCTACCAGCTGGCCAGCTTGGCAGCCAGTGGTGCCCTGGTGGCCATGAAGGTGGCAGGTGCTGCCATAGTCCTAGTGAGAGCAGAGGATGTGGCGCCGGGGGACATTGTGAACTTCCTGCTGACGGCTGCCCTCTACAAGGCCAAGGCCCACGGTAAGGCCCACCCTCTGGCCCCACTCCAGCACTTGGTGGAGGGAAGCAGGTGCTGGAGGAGGGGAGGATGCTACGACCCTAAGCCAGCTATAGTAGCTGGAGAAATGTGGGGCTCCAGCAGGCACCCCTTTCCCAGTTGAGACAGGGTTCTGGGTCAGCCTCTTAGCCTCTTTCAAGAAACACCTTCTGTCTTCTTCTTGAAAAAACCAGAGAGGCCAAGGCCTAGACGTCCCTTTGGACCTTGCTTCACACAGCAGCTGTATTCCAGAAAAGCTGGGTGGCAATAACTACTACTTCCCATCCCTCCCCCTAAATTTCCTTCTTACTCTCCCTCTTCCTACCCCCCTCCCCACTTCTCCTCTCTATTTTTAAGACTAGATAGACTGTAAATACCAGAGGGGAACTGGCTGTTATATTAACTCCAGTGGGACCTTCTCCTGTGAATGGAGGAGTGGGCTCTTGATTTGCTCAGGTTATGGTCCTGAGTTCTGGTCTGGTGGGTTACACAGACTGAGGCACACCTGGAACTAGCCAGCCTCCTGGGTCTCAGACTGCAAGCAGACCTAAAGGGCTTAGCTGTAGTGGGCACCGTCTTCTCTTCAGAGTTCAGTAGTGCCTGAGGGGTGGCAGGACCTTGCCCGGTGGGGAGTGACCGCCGGTGGTGTTTGTGTTGGGCGCTGGGCCAGCCAAGGCCTCAGTTCACCAGTGCTAGGAAGCCTTCTCTTCTGTGGCCATTTGTGTGTGTCCCAGTGTGTGGTCACTGTGATCACTGATCAGGGTTTCTCCCCGCAAATCCTGTTGGTCCCATCTAGTCAGTATCTCCCTAATAACAGGGTTGGTCCGTGAAGCCAATCCCAGCATCGACCAGAATCTTGAACCAACACACATCTCAGTTCATTCCAGCCTAAGAATTTAAGTTCTCAGATTCTCATGTCTGTGGTTTATCTAGTTACGAGGATCATCCTCTCTTTCTCTCTCTCTCTTCCTCCTCTCCTCCTCCCCTTCCTCTCTCCTTGCCTCCCTCCCTTTCATTGAGCCCTGTTCCCATGCCAGGCACCAAGCTGGGCACTGGGGAATCAGTGGCATCAGAGACACGACCCCTGCCCACCAGAAGTCCACAGTCCCATCCAGGGGACAGACACGTCAAAGACAGTTACAATGCCTGTGGGAAGGAGGAGCCCCTAACTCAGTCTTGGGGAGTCAGGAGAGGCTTCTTAGAATAAGTGTTGTCCCTTGAAGGGTTGAAAGGAGCCAGGAAGGGACTTGTAAGCCAAGCTCAGGAGGTGGATCTTTATCCTGAGGGCAGTGGGGAGCCATGGAAGGGCTTTAAGGAGGGGAGGGACATCCCAGGCACAGCTAAGGGGATGTCCATGGTGGGGTGAGCCAGGGGTACAGTAGGAGGTGCCAGGAGGAATCACGTCACTGCACGAGGAAACCTGGGAGTGAGGAGCCAGGGACTGGGCCACAGGAGGGCCAGGAGCATCCCCACTGCCGCAAAAGGGAACACTTCCTCCCTAGACGTTCCTGACCCCCAGATCTGTGTGGTCCTGCTTGAAGAAGGAAGGGTGTCTTATAACATTCCAGATGTAATGGACCATCTGCTTAGTGGGAATTTTCTGTTCTCCATTCAGTATTTTAGCCCAGTAAGTAAGGTCTAGTCTAGAGGGGGTGTTGATTTTCCAGTGGTTTTATGGCATTTTAAGCAAACCCTAGAGTAGCCTGGCCCTGGAGAATGTCACTGTGGATGGGATGCCCAGAGGCTGTGAAGGCCAGCCTCCATCTCAGACCTGGGTCTCCTGGGCAGCTGGGGGCAGGGCCCAGTGAGGACCCAGGCTCCCACTCCCACCCCATCCTGTGTTCCTTCCCTGTGCTGTGCCCAGAGTACTGGACAACAGAAGAGAACATACCTTCCAGGTAAGATTTGGGGTGGCTACGTCGGGGAGGTGTCTCTTGAATTTGGCCTTGAAGGATGTGTAAGATTGTGATGGGAAGAAATGGAGAGCAGAAGATACCACAGAGAGGAGGATTCAGCAGTCATTTGGCCTGAGCCTCTCACTCTCATGGTCTTGATGTCCTATAGGATGTACTAAAGGGACGCAAGCCACAACCTGGTACATCTCCCTGGACTATCAATTTTACTTAAAGATTTTTGGAGGAGGTTACTGATTTATATTAACAATACCTCACTCTTCTGTAGCACCTGCTGTGTGCTGGGCACTGTTCTAAGTGCTTCATATATAATAACTCATTTAACCCTCACAACAATCTTAGGAGTTAAGTGCTATTATTTTCCCAATTTACAGATGTGAGAACTGAGGCCCCGAGAGGTTTGGTAACTTACCCAAGGGGACATCACTTGCAAGTGACAGCAACCAGGCTGTCACTTTTGTCAGGCTCCTCCCAAACAGAGATATTAAAAGAGAAATAAAATTTAGAGAATGGAAGGTAAAAAATCATTTGATTATTTAAGGTAAAACACGAGACTTTGTACAGTCAGTCCTCTGTATCCACGGTTCCACATCTACGAATTCAACCAGTCGTGGGTGGAATTTCAGATGGAAACCTACGAATACGGTTGGATGACTGTACTGGGCCATTTCATGTAAAGGACTTGAGCATCCTTGGATTTTGGTACCGGGGCGGGTGTACCGAGAAACAACTGTACCTCTAGGTCTGGCTTTCAGCCTCTCCCCCCGTTAGAAGGACTTCAGGACAAATGGTTGAGAACCTTGATTTAGGCCAACTCCAGTCTTCACAAACAAGAAAGCCGAGACCCAGAGAGGAGAAGTGAGTTGCCTGAGGTCACCCAGCGAGGGACTCAGCACTCTACCCGCCTGGGCTGCCCCATGCCCACTCCTGGATCCCATCCCTGGGGCTGACTGCGCAGTGGTTAAGAGCCTGGGCTCCAATCCTGCCTCCTTTTTCCACCGTCAGTGTGACTCTAGGCCTCACCGCCCTCATCTGTAAAATGGGGATGCAATGTCATCGCCTTCTAACCTGTTATAGAATTTGCTTGTTCATTATGTTTACTCCCCACCCACCACCCGCTACTTGAATGTCAGCTCTGTGAGGACAGAGGATTTGTCGTTTTGTCCCCTATTGTGTCCCCAGTGCCTGGAACGGTGCCTGGCCCCTGGTGGGGGCCTCAGTAGTGTTAGCTGCTGAATGAATGAATTCACCGCCTCACAGGGCTCTCTTGGAATTTACTACAAGCAGCGGGTAGAGAGCTTGCTCAGCACTGTGCCCGGCACAGGGTTAAGTCCTGATCAATAGCAGTTGTTGTTGACATGAAGAATTGATTCTTCCCCCAGTTACCTCATTTCTTCTCACAGCTGCCCAGGGAGGTCTAACAGGAGCTCTGTGCAGTATCTCCTGGGGCCATGGGGTGGAGGGGTGATGGGGGGAGGGGGAGACACACCAGGCCCTGTGCTGGGCCTTTCACACACCGTTCGTCCCTCACAGCCTGGAGGCGTGAATTCACTTGCCCACAGCACAGCCAGCCATGGCGGGCCGGGACTCCGGACACCTGCTTGTGCATTTGGGCCCTGACCCTGCAGGGCCCTGTGGTGGGGGGCAGGGGAGATCCACCCAGCAGCGTGGAGATAGGAGAGAGGACAGCGGAGCCCAGCTCTTAGGCCTCTGGGCAGGCCCCTTTCCACCTCTGGGGCAGTGTCCCTGCCGTGGGTTGGGCTCAGCCTCAGGTCCCCCAGCTCTCACCCTCTGGGATTCTGTGAGGAGCGGGACCAAGAAAACTGACAAATCAGCAAACCCCAGCTTGTCTAGTGCGTCCCATAGAACAGAACCCCACCAGGACAGCTGTTTCTGTCTGTCCTACTCACTGCTGTATCCCTAGCATCTAGACTAGCACATGGTACACGGAGGGGCCTCAGAGATGTTTGCAGGAGGGAGGGAAGGTGGAGAGAGGGAAAGAAGGAGGAAGAAAGGAAGGAGGGAATGGAAGGAAGGAGAGGGGGACGGAGGGAGGAGGGGATAGTTCAGTCACCTCCCCAAGGCTCTGCATTGGGGCTTTAACCCCCAACCTTCCCTCCCTCGGGTGGAGGTGGTATGTGCCAAGGGGCAGCCAGCAGGCACAGGTGGGTGCGCTGAGGGGAGGCGGGCAGGCTTGGAGGAGCAGGACCCAGTCCTGAGTCGCTGAGACTGCAGACGGTGCCTGGGTATCTGCCCACTCCCCGCATCCGGACCTCTCTCTGCTGACCTCACCCTCGTGGCTCTTTGCAGACCCAGATGTGATATCCTTGGAGGCAGCGGACAGACCCAACTTCTTCCTCCACGTCATGGCCAACGGGTCTCTGGAGCTGGCCAAGTGGCAGGCCAGCGATGCCTTCCACCACCATGCCTCCTTCTCGCTGCACTCGTGGCGTGCGGGCCTGGTGGCCCTCGAGTCCCTGGCGGAGCCTGGGGCCTTCCTTTACGTGTTGGGCCCAGTGCTGGCCCTCCGACTGTACGAGCACACGGAGGCCTTCCGCCGGGGCACGCTGTTCCGCCTTCTGGGTAGGTGTCCACCCTGCGTCGCCCTCAGCTCCTCCGCCCCTGACTCAGCTTCCCTCCCACCTCATCCTTCCAGTTGCCTCCAAGAGACGAGATCCTCACTCTTCTGACACAGGGAAGCCACGTGGGTGCCACCCCTGAGATGGGAGGGGGCCCGGCCTCCTTGTTGGTGGCCTAGGGAGCCTTGGGCATTGTGACTTGGGGCCCAGCCAGCTTCCTGGGTCCTGCCTACTCCCACAGGCCATTTACAAGGTCTAAAAATAGGGCGGCCTTTGTGGAAGCGAGAAAAGTGATCATTGTGGCCGCAGCTTGACAGCCCGCAGGCTCAGGTTTCTTGCTGATGGGGGCACATGCCTGTCCTGTGAGCTCAAAGACTGCCCACTGGGGCACAGCCTGAGGAGGCCACAGCCCCCCTGGCTCCCATGAGAGGCCCAAGAACCTGGGCGGTGATGGGGCAGCTTCGTGCCCTTTCCAGCTGAGACCAGTGGGTTCCAGGGCTTTGCCATCTCCCTGCCAGGTGGGTGAGCCCCAAAAGTAGTTGTCCTCTGCCTAAACCCTTGAGACAGTGATCACAATTTCCTTACTGCTCCAGGCTGGCCTCTCTGTCCTGCACGTGCACATGTATGTTTGTGCTGTATGAATGGATCCATTTACATGTACACATGTGTAAATATGTCCCCAGTCAGCCTTTCGTTTATCATCCCCCACCGCTCCCAGCCCAGGGCTGGGCCAGCTCACTCTGACATTCAGTGGTCACCTATCAAGTCCACCAGTGAACCCCACCCAGGGCAGATTCATCACTGGCTGTGATGGCAGGACTTGTGTCCCTTGCTGGAAGACACCCAGGCCCTGAAGGCAGACAGTCCTGATCCCGGGCCTTGGCACTCGGAGGAGCCCCAGCTCCCCTCTCCTCGACCCTGTTTCTTCATCTGTGCAACGGGGGTATTTGCCTCAGAAGGTTGTTGCGAGGATTGACCGTATCTCCCGGGCTTTGCTCTGGGCCTGGCTCAGAGTAGGTGCTCCCCAGATGTAAGTTCCTAGTTCTGGTCTCAAGGATCTTACAAAAGCAGGCTCCTTCACAGTCAGCAGCAGGCTGGGGACTGGGGATGGGGCTTCGTTAGGATGGGGCTGCCCGGGTGGGATTGCTCCTTCCAGCCTGCTGGGGAGCTTGCCCACACCTCCCAGCTCAGACCATGGTTTCAGAGACTGATCACTCGTGCCAACATGGTCTGGGGTCTTGTCTGCCTCGAAGCCCCCTAAGGGCTCCAGACTTTCCCTGAGGATCCTTCACTTGTCAAGGCACTGGCCACAAGGCCTTTTTTGAGGAAATCTCCTTTGGGAAAGTTTAATATTCCCGGCATCTTCTGTGCTCAGTTTCCTCTTCTGTAAAATGGGGATAATAATAGTGCTACTTCATCGAATTACTGTGAGGATTAATGAGTGAATACTTGTGAAATGTTGAGTGTAGTGCTTGGTGTTAAGAGTTGGCTGTTGTTATTATTATTGTTAGCTACCAAGGTCTAAGGGGGCAAGCCTGGCCACCAAGGTCCCAGAAGGTCAGGGTGACAAGGCAGCCTTATGGAAAGATCAGGGGTCCCAGCCTCTTCTTTGGCCGCCTCTGAAAGCCCAACTCCAACTGCCCATTCCATAGTCCCACCCCACCCCCGGTCCTCAGCCCCTCCACCAAGTTCCCAGAGTCCCGACCCAAAGATCCCCCAGCCACCGACCTCAGCTCTCAGGAATATGGTTTCCCCTCAGGTTGGATTTGATTTGATTTGATTTTGTTTTGTTTCATTTCATCTCATTTCGGTCTCCACTTTTCTTGCACGAGTCCATTTATCTCTTCCACGAGTCCATTTATCTCTTCCACGGAGCAGGGTGGGCGTGGGCTGAGGTGGGATGACCTCTGTGCTCTGGCACCTGATCAGGAGCTGGGGCTGTCTCACTGTCTCGGGTTGGGGCACCTTTCCAGATGCCAAGCGCTCAGGGGCTCCCTACCCCACCTGTGAGTGGCACTACGATGCCTGTGCCAGCCCCTGCTTCCAAACCTGCCAGGACCCACGGGCAGCCAGCTGCCAGGATGTGCCCAGGTGAGGTGGCATGGATTCAAGGTGTGTACCTCAGTGTATTTGAGCATACACCTGAGTGAATGGGTTTATATGCAGTCTGTGGGTTTAGGCATGAGCATGTACTGTGGTGTGTGTGTATTCACATGTACTTGTGTAGGTATGTTTTGTGTACTGGGTATGGGGATGTGTGTGAACCAGAGTGAACCTGCCTGATGTGGGCATATGTGAATGTCAGTTTGTGCACATGTGTGTATAGTTGAGCCCTGTGGGTGTACAAAGGGTAGCTGTGGGTGCACAGCTGTACACAGCTGTGTGTATGTACATGCGTATAAGCTGCATGTATCTGGGTGTTGGTGCAGCTGGGTGTGTGTGCATAAGGTACACTGATGTTTTGGTGGACTGTGTGGACGTATATGTATCCACGTGAATGGCTTTGAGTCCTGCAGGTGTGGAGGAGGAATGTGAGAATGCGCATAAATGGAGACACGTGTGCATGTGTGAGTGTGGGCACAAGTGTGCACATAACCAGACTTTGTGTTTTCCTCTCAGTCTGAGGGCAGGAGTGTGCAGCATGCATGTTTGGGTATGTGTGCTCCTGTACATGCTGTCTCCACGGAGGTTCATGTGAGTGTGTACATGAGATGCACACACACACACGTGTGTCATGAGAAAGGATGAGGTCTGTGCTCCGTCCAGGTGAAAGGCGGTGGCCCTCCTGGTGCTCCAGACCGCTGACTGGCCCCCTGCTCTGTCCTCAGGGTGGAAGGCTGTGTGCCTGTGTGCCCCACCCCCAGGGTCCTGGATCAAGTCACACAGAGATGCGTCTACTTGGAGGACTGTGAGTGGCCTGGACTTCTCATCCCTCCTTGGACCTGTAAACCCCCCGGGTCCCTGGTGAAACAGGGTCAGCACAGGGGCCTCTGGAAGGAGAGCACTCTAGAGCAGGCAGGGACCTCACCTGGTCCATTCCCCCCAGTTCACAGAAAAAATGAGGCCCATGTGGGGAAGGGAACTGGCTTGGGTCACGTGTTGAGAATGCGGCCAGACTTAGACCTGAGGTCTCTGGGCTCTGGGCTCAGGGTTTGAGGTGTGGGACAGGGTCCAGACCTGCTGACTTCTCTGGGCCATCTAACGCCACGTGACAGAGTCCCTGACCAGCTGTCAGAAGCTGCCTACCCCCCTCACCAAGGGTGCCAGCCCAGGAGCCCCACATCACAGCCCTGCCCAGTGATGACCCCTGCGGCAGCAGTCGCCCCACTGGCTGAGCCTCTTCTCTGGTCTGCCCCAGGTGTGGAGCCTATGGTTTTGGTTCCCACGGAGGCCTTTGGCAACGAGACCCTGCCTCCCGGTCAAGAGCTGCCCACCCCCAGTGACGAGGAGCTGCAGTTTCCACAGGAAGCTCCCGGGGCCCCATCCCACAGGCCAGCACCCACGCCAGCTATCCCGCTCACCACGGCCCTGAACGCACCCGTGGCAGCCACTGAGGGGCCAGCTCTGTCTCCAGGCCCCACCCAGACCACTCAGAAGCAGCCACCGGGGGTCACTGCATTTAACGTCCCTGAGCACCCCACAGAGGCCCCAGCCAGCACGGGAGTGACCGCCAGCCACCTGGCCACCCCTCGTGTCCCAGAGCCCTCATCCCTTCCCCTTTCACAGCAGATGCCCACATCAGGCATGGGGTCGGGTGCCATGGAGACGACCAGGGTGACTGTGATCTTTGCGGGAAGCGTCAACATCACAGTCTCCTCCCTGTCACCCCCTGCACCTCGCTTCCCTCTCGTGACCAAAGCCATGACGGTCCTAGGCCTTGGCTCCTTGCCTGTTAAGACGACACCCCTCCAGCCCTCCCCGAGCCTGGAGTTGCCCGCAAGTCCCTCCTCCAGGCCTGTGGCTTCCCCTGCAGTGACCTCCAGGCCTCCCACTTCCTCAGGATCCCACGAGGCTTTGCCGACACCATCAATAACGGAGGTCATGACGGGGACAGGGATCCCCCGTCCCGTACAGTCCCAGAGCATTTCCAGTCCCAGCAGCCCCCCAGCTGAGTCTAGAACAGCCGCAGAACAGATTCCTGCCAGTCCCCTGGTGACTGAGATGGTGGAGACAGCGCCATCCACAGAGAAGGTCCAACCTGGGCCCAGCCAGGCCACGGGCCCACCAGCATCCCCACTGCCAAGCCCATTCCCCACGGCCCCGCTCCACCCCGCTCCGCATGCCACCGCAGCCGCCAGGCCTCCCGCTCTGCCCTCGGGGCCTGTAACTGCCGCCAGCCTGTCCACAGTCGCTCGTGGGCTGGGGGCCACACCCTTCACATCTCTGGAGTCAACTCGGCAGCCCCAGCTCCTCTCTGGTCTGCCTCCCGACACCAGCCTGCCCCTGGCCAAGGTGGGCACGTCTGCCCCAGTGGCCACGCCCGGCCCCAGCGTCTCTGCCATCCCCCCTCCACTGCAGCAACAGGCCGCATCTCCCGCCGTGGCCACGACTCTGCCTGCTCGGACACTCAGTCCCGCACTGCCTCTCACCCAGGCTGTCCTGGCCCAGGTGCACCCGCCCAGTCATGTGGTCCCTCAGGCAACAGGCACAGCTCCAGACCTGCTTCTGGGGGCCACGCTGCCAGCCTCTGGGGTCGTGGCTGTGGCTCTGGCTGGGGGGGTGGCCTCCACAGTATCTGCTGCTGGCCCACGAAAGAGCACCACGGAGAAGATGGCCATCCTGTCCGAGCAAGTGTCTCAGCCCACCTGGATATATGGCTCTGCCCAGGGGGGCCCCACAGAGCTCACGCCTGCTGTGGCCCACACTGCTGCTACCTTGGTGACGGAGGCTGAGGGCCCCTGGGCTGGCACAGTACCACTGGTGCCCACGTCCTACCCACTGAGCAGAGTCTCAGCCAGGACGGCCTCCCGAGAGAGCTCGCTGGTTCTGCTCCCCCAGCTGGCTGAGGCGCATGGCACCTCGGCAGGACCTCAGCCCCAAGCAGAGCCGGAGGGAGAGGCTACCACCGAGCAATCTGGGCGCTCGGCTCCAGCCCAGAGCATCTCGGCAGGTCCGGCCGAGTCCTTGGCCACCACCACTGAAGCCAGTACATCTGAAATCTGTGTCGTGAGTGACTTGTCAGGGTTCTGCCCCTGTATGTGAACCCTCCATGCCTTCCCTCCTCCTGTGCCCCGGGGCTTGGACACCATCGTGCTCTCACATCCTCAAGATCGGCGGCAGTGTCTCCTTAGCCAGCTTCCAGGCTGCCAGATGGCCGTTTAGTCACCATCCTGACCCCTGCCCCAAGCTCCTGGAGCCTGCAAATTCTCCAAGCTCCTCTGGGCCTCTATGCCATAGCAGATCCCTCCATGCCCCACCTGGGACCCAGGGCCCCATTGGATGACTTGGTGTGCTGTTGTGTGCATTGCGTGTGTGTGTGTGCCCATATGGGACTGTGTGTGAACTCGTTTGTGTTCACGTGTGTGGGACTCCATGTGAACGCTCATCTGTCTGTGTGTGTTCTTGTGCATGTGATGTGTGGTGTTGCAAGGTGGTATATGTCTGTGCGTTTGTAAGGAAAGAGAGAAACTGTGTGTGCGTGCGTGTGCTTGGGTTTCTACGAGTCTGAGCTAGCGGACCTGCTATGTACCTAGAACTCTCTGCAGGGCCAGGTGGATGTGCAGACTCTCTGGGACTCAGTCCCCTGACCCCAGTCTCACTCAGCCCAGCCCTAGGCCCCCAGTGGTGTGTTGGGTGGGTGGAGGGAGGATGAAGGCACCATTCCCTTGCCGTTGTACCTCAGGGTCCCCTACCTGCCAGAACCTATGGGGTAAGGATCTGTGCCCTCACGGCTTGGGGGTAGGTGGGGCAGGGGAACGAGTGACCGTGGTCCCAAGGGGATCGCTCAGGCTGTTCCTCCACCCTGTGCCCCAGCCAATCGCCGAGCAGGACTGCGTCCGCCACATCTGCCTGGAGGGCCAACTGATCCGAGTGAACCAGTCCCAGCACTGTCCCCAGGGCACTGCACCTCCTAGCTGTGGGGTCCTGGGCCTCGCAGTGAGGGTGGGCGGTGACCGCTGCTGCCCCTTCTGGGAGTGTGCCTGTGAGTCGTGGGGTCCGCGGGCGCCTCCCATGTCTTTCTCGTACCCTGAACCCGGCACAATCTCTGCCCCTCTCCTGTGTGCTTTCCAGCCTCAGGGTAACCCTGACATGAACCCCCTGTGGGACCTCTGACCCCTGACCTGGCAGATTTCCTACCCTTGTGACCTCTGATCTCTGTGTGACCGTCCAGCCCCCCAAGGCCTCTGGATCACCCAGGAGAAGGCCTCATGTTCCTGGGTGGCCTTGGCCCCCAGGGGCATCTGTTTATTCTTCTCGTCCCTGTCCTCCCCAGGCCGGTGCTCAATCTTCCCTGATCTGAGCTTTGTCACCTTCGACGGGAGCTATGTAGCCCTGTTCAAGGAGGCCATCTACATCCTCAGCCAGAGCCCCGATGAAATGGTCACTGTTCACGTCCTCGACTGCAAAAGTGCCAACCTGGTGACTGTCCCTGGCTTCCCTTCCTGCTGGGGCCTTGGGACCTGACTAGGTTTGGAGGGGAGATTGAGCAGTGAGTTGGGTTTTGAGGGTTATCAGAGGCGAGGACAGATGAAGAGGCCCCTGCAGCAGCTCCGTCTGTCTCAGTCATGGGGCTCTTCTGGAACCAGCGCCTAGGGAAAGAGTGAGTGGAGCGCCACCTCCTGGCCCTTCCTGGGGCCTGCACCGTTCCCAGCTGCCTAGGCCCCTGTGAGAGGCACTGAAATGCAGAGGAGCTGGGATGCCACCCCTAGGATATGGCCTGTGGTCAAGGGTGCTGGCTGCAGGGAACCGCCTACTAGGATGCTCCCATGAGCCAGGTGAAAGGAGGCAGCTTTCTGGGGGGCTTGCAGGAGGTCAGGTGGAAGCAGAATGTTCTGTGGGACTCTGTGCACCATCTGCACAACCCCAGTGGGTGCCCCTAGCATACTGAGGCAAGGTTGGGTTGGGGGGGAAGAGTTGCTCCCCAGGAGGAGGCGGCAGCAGGGCTCCAGGTAGATGAGGGCTGGGTTCTCTCTGCAGGGGCACCTGAACTGGCCGCCATTCTGCCTGGTGATGCTGAATGTGACTCACCTGACCCATCAGGTCACCATTGACCGCTTCAACCGGAAGGTGAGTGCATCAAAGAGCAAGCCCCCAGGGAAGGGCAGCAGTCAGGCAAGGGGCGGGGCATCAGGGGAGGAGGGGCTTTGAGGCTTATTCACAACTGGGAGTAAGGGAAGGGAGGGATCCTCTAAAAGAAAAATAATGCAAAATTAGTTATATTTGGAGGTGATTTTAATTAGAATATTTGTGGCCACTCTTCATGTCAGGGGAGGAAGTGTACCAGGAGGAATATTGCGACCGAAAAGAAGTTAAATGGCGAGACAGTAGCCTTAAATGATTGTGGTTAAAATATCTCACTTCTGCAATTTTTACAAAAATATAAGGCCATGTGAACACACTAAGATGCATCGGCTTCACATCAAGCCCACCTCTGTCAAGGAGGCTGGTGCCCAGCCACAGCCCACCCTCTGTGGGGTACCCACCCCGAAGGCTCTGCCTTAGCTCTTCCCAGGGGGAGGGTGAGTAGGGCTGACTCATCTCTTCCTCAGGTCCCAAAGTGTCGGCTCTCCCCACCTATTCCTGAGCTCAGACCTGCAGCCCTGTTACTAGAATCTGCTCTTGAACATAGAACACAAGGGCCACACCTTGTGAGACTCTCAGGAACAAGGCTTAGGGCAGTGGGTTTTCCATGAGATGGAGGCTTAAGCATAAAACTCCCTGGGTTTCATCCCAGGTGCTTCAGCATTGTGGAGCCCATGGCCCTGTCTGTACAGCTCGGAAGGCTAGATTGAGAGAGCCAGGGACTTGCCCAAGGTCAAAGTTTTCCGACTACTGGGCTAGGGCTCCCTCTATTCAACACAGTAGTTTATGCACTGGATAATTTGCAAAGTGATTAATAAAACAGTGATTCTTGGATGGGAGGGTATAAAGTCATTATAAATATTTAAAAATCCTAATATTTTCATCTCCCATTTCCACATAGTAAAACTAATAATACATACAAATTTAACCTTGTCTGTAAGTAGCAGGGGTTGTAGCTTTGAGTTTAAAGTGTTGCATATTTAACAAACATTGCTTGAGCCCCCAATTCATGTCAGGCCCAAAGGCAGGTGCTGGGGATTCAAAGGTGAGTGAGACACAGTTTCTGCCCTTAAGAAACTCACAGCCCATGGAGGGCCTTGATGAGGGAACAAATCTGTCTTAAAGGACAGCACAGAGCTGGGGAGACCCCAGAGAAAGGGGTACCCAACCCAGCGGCTGGGGATTTAGGGTCAGTCTCCCAGAAGAAATGATCTGAGCAGAATCAGAAAAAAAGAGAGTGATTAGAAGGGCTCAGGATTATTTGGGCGTGTAGATGTCGCCTGCCTCCAGCTGTTGCATTTCTTGTTTCATTGTTTTGTGCTCATAACATGTTTTTAGAACTTTTCCATGCCACCTTGGACTGTGTCTTGGCTGCGTGTGCCTGAAACAGAGCCTGCCATGGAGCAGATGCTTCATAACTGCTAGTGGGATAAATGGATGGATGGAGGGAGGGAGGGACGGATGGACAGGCAGACAAGCTGTGCTCACATTGAACACCCTCCCCCACAAGGTGTTTGTGGACTTGCAGCCTGTGTGGCCCCCTGTGAGCAGGTACGGGTTCACAATTGAGGACACAGGACACATGTATGTGATCCGGACACCATCACACATCCAGATCCAGTGGCTCCACAGCTCAGGACTCATGATCCTGGAGGCCAGCAAAGCCAGCCAAGCCCAGGGCCGTGGACTCTGCGGTGAGGTGGGACCCAGCTTGGGGGGAGGGGGATGCTTCCTGGATCCACCTCTGCCCCCAGACACAGGTTCCCCTGGAACAGGGAAAGCTGGGACAGAGTGCTGGGCCAGAGGTGGGACCAGCAGAGCTGCCAGGGCAGAGACCTAATGTCTTGTGTTCTAGGGCTGAAGCTGCCAGCAGGGAGATGGCGCAGGGCTCTGGCCTTGGCCAGTTGTCATTTCAGCCGAGATTGTCAGCTTCCCTGATCGCTTCCTAACACCAGATAATCTTCCCTGTCTGCATATGCCTGGGCACTTCACAAAACACTTCTACACTCTGATCTCACTTATTCCAGGTCATCCACACAATAGCCCTGAGGGATGGCCATCGAACTAAAGAAGAAAGGGGGCTCAGAGAGGTTAAGTGGCTTGCCTAAGATCACACAGCAGAGCTGCCACAACACAGAACTAGTGCTCTTCAGACCGCAGCATGGTTGCAGAGAGCATGCCTTAAGGGCCTGGATGTATTTTGATAAGAACAAGGGGTACAGGAGGAGTCTAAGTGTGGACTGCTGCTCCTTGCAGGTGCAGAAGGATGTGGGCCCCCGTAAGGTGCTCCATGACAAACTGTTGTGATTATGATGATGGATGACATAGGAATACTTACACACACATACTTGCATGCCCTCCATCCGTAAATCTGCACCCATTTTATTCATTCACACTCATGCCTCTGTGTTCAAAATGCCTTCTACACATGAGCTAACACGTGTGAGCCTGCTCCCTGCTCATTCTTTCATCTGTGCAACACATAAACACATATTTACTATGTACCAGTCACTAGGGACAGAACAGTAGGCAAAAAAGACAAAATGTGTCTTATGAAGCTTCCATTCCTACTGGCACAAACATCTCTCCTTACACACGCACACACACACACACACCACCATCACCACCTCCTCTGCTATCCCTTTCTCACCATTGTTTCCTTCTACTGTTTGTGCCTGATGCAGAGTGCTGTGGTCAGCCTCTGGTGGGCCAGCTCCTCCCTAGGATGCCTTTGTGACACTCTTCAGTGACTCAATGCCAAGACCAAAAATCTGACCATTGGGACTGTTGATAAAAATCTGAGGATTTTGTAGTGACTCATGCTTTGTATTCACGAAATTGGTGCCTGGAGGTGTCAGAGCATAAGTCAGCGAATTTACTTCTATTTTATCCAGACTAACATTGGTATCTTGGGCACCTGCTAGGCAACTTGGGGGAATACTGAGAGAGTGAGACTATAAGGGAAAATGAATCTTTGCACTCAGAGAGCAAACCAGACCTGCAAACTGAACCTGTTACACAGAATTGGGACAGTCATGGACGGTGCATCTGAGGGGCCCGTGAAGGAAGGACTTCTGAGAAAGTGTTTCAGACAGAAGGAGCAGCATAAGCAAAGTCAAGGGCAGGGAAGTGTGTGTTTGGAGCCTAGAGTGTGAGAGATGAAGCTGGAGGTTAAGGTCATGTTAGAAGCTGTGACAGATAAACTTCAGCCCTGCCCCCGTCTCAGTGCCTTAACACAATAGAAGTTTATTCCTTGCACACATAAATTCCCAAATGGAGATTCCTTCCATCCTGTGGCTCTGCCATTTTCAACACAAGCTTCCAACTGCCCAGAAGGGGAAAGAGCTGGGCAGGTTTTACGGATCCAACCTGGAAGTGGTGCCCATCACCTTCACTCACGTTCCATTGGTGGGGACTTACCACATGGTCTCACCAACCACAGGAGAGCCTGGGAGAAATAGGCTAGTGGACCGCCCAGGAAGAAGAGGAAACAGGTGTTATAATTAGCTAGCAATCTCTGCTAAAGCAGATTTTTTTGGAGTAACTTTTAATTTTGATATAACGTTAAACTTAAAAGTTGCAAAAATAGTATAAGGAACTCCTATGTGCTTTTGACCCAGATTTACCAAGTGTTCACGTTTTGCCTGTTTGCTTCTCTTTCTCTCTCTCTCCATGTATATATATATATGTATATATTATATATATACATATGCATGTATATATGCATTTATATACGTATATATGCCTTTTTATATATTCACTTTTCTATGCATATGCCTTTTACATAAATGCATTTTTTCTGAACCATTTGAAAGTATGTTTGAGACATTGTGTTCCTTTATTCTTAGATACCTTGGTGTGTATTTCCTAAACAAAGACAGTTTCTTACACAGTGCATTTCTTAGCTTCTCTGTACCTTATTTCTCTCATCTATAAAATGGGGATAACAGTGATACCAGTCTCAAAGAATTATTGTGAGGAATATTCAGTGTGACAGCTGGGGACCTGGGAGTGGTGATTATTATGGCCACTGGGGTAATTCTGCCCCTTTCAGGTATCTGTGATGGGGACGCAGCCAATGACCTCACCCTGGAGGATGGCTCTGTGGTGGGTGAGGCCGAGGACCCTGCTCCCTTTCTGGACAGCTGGCAGGTGCCCAGCTCCCTGACCTCGGTGGGCCAGACCCGCTTCCGCCCGGACAGCTGTGCCACGGCCGACTGCTCTCCCTGCCTTCGCATGGTGTCCAACCACACATTCAGCGTCTGCCACCGCTTTGTAGGTGTCACCTGGGTCCAGCATGGGGGGACCTCCTGGGCTGAGAATGGCAGCCCATCTACCTGCAGGGGGCAAGCTCCCTAGAGGTGTTGATCTTGGGACAGATTGGGAGCCTGCCAAAGTCCGTGTTGCCCCTGGGCCGGGCTGGGAGGAGCTGAGCCCTGAGAGATGGGGGATGTGGGTAGGCAGCACCATCTGATGCACGGCCCAGGTCACCCCGGAGTCATTCTGTGAGCTGTGGATCCGGGACACCAAGTACTTGCAGCAGCCCTGCGTGGCACTGACCGTGTACGTGGCCATGTGCCACAAGTTCCACGTGTGCATCAAGTGGCGACGCTCCGACTACTGCCGTGAGTTGCAGGGGTGGGGAGGGGGAGGGGGAGGAGAGGGGAAGGGCCGGGGGCATCTCCTCCATGGCTGCTGTAACTGTCACCCCTCACCCCTGTTCGAGTGGGAGAAGGGCTCACAAACCTGAGTCCGGGTCTAGGCTTTCCCAGATTTAATTAGTCGTTCACTCACTAATGGATATTAATTAATAAATTTATAAATATTTTCTAAATAAATCTATAAACATACTAACAAATTAAAAATTTTAACTTTATTATACTTTATATAAATACATCAAATACATGTTTTATGTTTATTATTTAGTTTCTTTGAGTCTCCTCTGTAAAATGGGGGCGGTCATAGCACTTTCTTGAGAGTCGTTTTGAAGATGACATGAGATAATGTGTACAGAGTGCCTCACAGAGGCCCATCACACGTTACTATCCAGTAAATATTAGTTCCTTTCTCTTAACTTTTAGTCATGTTTCTCTTTTCGTCTCTCCTCTCCTTCGTTGAGGATGGACGTGAGAGCCATTCCTCCCCACCCCCATTAGGTTTGCACTAGTCGGGTAGGCAGGGGTGGACCAGGCTAGAGTATTTTGATTTATAAATGTGAACACATCCAGAAAGGCTGGAAACAGCTCAAAGGAAGGCCACACCTATAATAAGACAGATAGAAGATGAAAAGACAAAATCGTCTAGAGTAGTGTTTTTCAAACTGTGGATCCCAGCTCAGTGGGTATGAAATCAGCATATACCCACTGATTTGGGCGCCAGCATCAGCATTTTTAAAATGCAATAGAATAAAAAATACTAGTGTGTACTGCACCTAGAATGATTAAGTGTTGTCTCGTGAAAAGGTTTTTTGTTTCAATATATCAGTGATTCTCAATCCCAGCTACCCTTTGAAATCACCCAGGGAACTTCAAAAAGTACTCATGCTTGGACCCCACAATCAGAAATGCTAATTCAGTTGGTCTGAGGTGGGATCCCAGCCATGGTGTTGCAAAAGCTCTCAGTGATTCTTTTACAGTGGCTTGAGGAGCACTGTTTACATGCACGTGTATATTGGACCACAACGTGAGATCTAGTTTTTACAATCAAGAAAGTTTGGAGGGCT